GGAAGGAGCTATAATTATACTGTCTGAGACTATAGGTGTACCAGATGTTGCAGGCGTTACACCAGTTAACAGCACTTCTACTCTTTCATCCAGTCTACTGCGGGCTCTGCAGCATACAACAGCTAGGAAAAATATTTTGTATAATTAGTTCTCTGAAATAAAAGGAGCTCATATTGAGAGCACATTACACCTGACTACATTATGCAGAAGACACATGTCCCAAAGATCATGAGAGGTTTCAGTTACAATCTGAAGATGTTTGGTGAGTGAGCATGAGAGATGGGGTCTTTTTAATGGCAGCTGCACAACTTTGCAGCACCCTTCCAGCTGAGATATGTTCCCCACTTTAACAACTACCTGTCAGAAGTTAGAGATTTCTGTTTCAATAGGCTTATAACATTTGATTATCTAATTCTCGCTGCTGCTGTATCAGTTTTAGACAAAAAAAGTCTTTGTTTTTTAACTGCTATTATATTTTGTTTTTAAATGAGTTTTCAGCTATGACAGTATTTTGTTAGTTTATGATCAAGTTGGTGAGTCAAATCATGATAGTGGGGCTGGGGAAAAATCGCATCTGGCAACCAATGTGCCCCTTTGGTTTCAGATAGTGCATGGGTAGATGAAATTTTCTGCTAACTGCTATAGTGGCTCATTTACCAGTAATGTATTTAGCATTAACTCTAGAAGTGTATGGGGACGTGGGTGGCGCTGTGGGTTAAACCACAGAGCCTAGGACTTGCTGATCAGAAGGTTGGCGGTTCGAATCCCTGTGATGGGGTGAGCTCCCATTGCTCGGTCCCTGCTCCTGCCAACCTAGCAGTTGGAAAGGACGTCAAAGTGCAAGTAGATAAATAGGTACCGCTACGGTGGAAAGATAAACGGCGTTTCCGTGCGCTGCTCTGGTTCGCCAGAAGCGGCTTAGTCATGCTGGCCACATGACCCAGAAGCTGTATGCCGGCTCCCTCGGCCGATAAAGCGAGATGAGCATGCAACCCCAGAGTCGGTCATGACTGAACCTAATGGTCAGGGGTCCCTTTACCCTTTACCTTACCTAGAAGTGTATACAGTGGTATGCTGGCTTATGAACTTTATTCGTTCCAGAGGTCCTTTCTTAACCCGAAACCATTGTTAACCTGAGGTGTGCTTTTGCTAATGGGGCTTCCCGCTGCCATCAGCACACAATTTCTGTTCTCATCCTGGGGCAAAGTTCGCAATCCAAGGTACTACTTCTGGGTTAGCAGAGTTTGTAACCCAAAGTTTTTGTAACCCGAAGCGTTTGTAACCCAAGGTACCACTGTACTCAATTCTGACCAAACTAAACCTCTTAGACCAAAATATACCCCACTATGAATGCATATGTAGAAGAGGATGCAAATAATAATTATTTGTTGTTGTTGTTGTTGTTATCACCACCATCGGTACTACTACTACTATAAAGTCTTGTCCATTTCGAAATAACCTAAGTACAGCAATTTTAAAGAAAACACCAGGCTCTACCTGGTATATCTTCAGCTGCATACAATAAGAAAGCTTTGACCACTTTAAAACCATTAACTGTCTCATTGTAATTATTGATTTCCTTTCCCACCCCACTTCTGAAACCTGGGCACAAAACTGACTGCACATGAAGTCAATGGTGAGTGAACCATAAATACTGCATGTGTTTTGTGAAGCTTTCAGCTTAAAATATTAAAATATGGTGGCTTGTGATTATAAAATGCAGCATGTCTTATAAGCAATTCATGGTTGCTAAACAACAGCTTAAGGGCACATCCCACATTCTTAGTTCAGCTCTTTAGCATTGAGCTAGCAATCCCTGACTAGAGCTGGCACTGCAAATGTGGTCATGCTGAGTGCAGTCACAATCCAAAGGACAGTTCATTTGTTTAAATTGGCTTAAAAAGTGTACTGTTGAATTAAGGCCTTCATGAAAAACACAAATCCCATCACTGCTTCTTTATTGTAGTGCAAAGCAAGGGTCCTCAATCTTTTTGGACCTGGGGGTACATTTCAAAATTTAAGGAATTTTTGTGGGTATCACAAAAATAGATATTTCACAAAAGATAAACTGGTGATGCTCAGACAAGCCCCCCACCCCCAGCCACCCATAGGCAAAACAGCTACAATCACAAAAACAGACAAAAATAAGCAGGCAGCCATTGCCACCCTACAAACAGACAGCCTTCTTCAGGCAAAAAAAAAGCAATTTAAAAATAATTTAAAATAGAGAAGGGCAGGAGGCCTTGGTGGTTGACTGTTATGTTGGGGACCCCAGGTGCAAAGTGTGAAGAGCAGACATTGGACTACTGAATATCTGGACCAAAACACATGCTTATTCTGGGGTAACATGGTATGTACATTCATTGTCTATCTTTACTTTCTCAAAACATCCATGTGAATGGATTTTCTTCCATGCACTATACAACTAACTTAAAGAATACCAATATACACATTTGTCATTATAGTACTTTATGAGGGTGCCATGCTGTGCAAAGAAGGAACGAAAGAAAAGATTTGGTGGTAATATTCAGCATTCCATCCTTAATTAATTAAACTGCAAATTAATGAGATGAAATCTGTAATTAAGATTATACTGGCATTTTTCTTCAAGTTAAAGGTCTTTAACAAATTAGAACAATGGCAGTACAAATAATATCTATCCCATTAAGTTCAATAATTTCATTCCTCAATAAGTCTCTCAATTACCTTCAAACACCAAGACAGACTATTGTTTTCATTCCTTTACAAAAGCTTTTGTATATAATTGACTCACACATTTTGAAGTGCCCTTATCAGCCCACGTGGTGTGTTTTTATAAAGGCTATTAGCTTCATCATTAAACTGATTTCCAATGTTCTTAATAGGTACCCAAGGAACAAATTAATTCTGTAATTGTGCTTTAGCTAAGAAATTTATGTATATATTTTTGGCATACTATCCCCAATTTGAAATAAACTAGGAATCCAACTGATATGGTTAACGTTTTGTTACACAGAAACTTATTTTCCCGGAACTGCTTTTAAGAATATATTTGTTGTTGCAATATTCCACATAGCACTCTATGATAATACATATACCTGAATTCAGTGCATTTTGCCTATGTATAACTATGCACTATTGGTTGTACCTACTTAAATGGTAGACCCATTGAAATTAATGTACCCCAATTAGTTATGCTCAGCAACGTCAAAAGGGTTTACTCTGACTAGGATTAACGCAGAATACCACCCTTTCTAGAAGTTCTGGGGAAGGCTAGAGTACTTTTTTATGCAGAACATCCTAGTTTGAATCCCTGATTCAAGGGGCTGGAAAAGATTCCAATCTAGAATCCTGAAGAGCCGCATAATTTAGACAATATTAAACTAGCTGGAGAAACAGTGTGATTGTATAAAGCAACTTCCTGTATTCCCAACATCTGCTGTCACCTAAGTAGCAAACTGGTTTTCACTAGTCTCACATAAGAACAGCCCTGCTGGATCAGACCCGAGGCCCACCTGGTCCAGCATTCTGCTCCCACAAGCAGGACATGATTATAATAGCATTCTCCACTCATGTTCCCTACTAAACAATATTCAGAGAGGAACTGCTATCCGTTAGCCTTACTGAATGATAACCCTGTAGTACACAGCTAGCTGGAGCCACAAAAGATTTAGTCTCTCATTCTGAAGAAGAGGAACCCATTGCTACATAGAGAGATCAGTACTGCTGAATTACAGCCCATGCATTGCTTTATGTGGGTCTGCCTTTGGAAATGGTTCAGAAACTGCAGCTAGTTCAGAATGTTGGAATCAGACTGCTGACAGGGAATAAGCAATCTGACTGTATAACATCAGTCTTGGCAGGACTCACTGGCTGCTTAGACATTTCCAATCCAAATTTAAAGTGCTGGTTTTAACCTATAAAGCTCCATATGGCTTGGAAGCCTAATATCTGACCCAACACCTGTCCCAACATAAGCCTACCGAGACTCATTAGTCCTTAGGATGATGGCGACAAGGGAAAGGGCCTTTTCTGTTATGACCTCTCATTTATGGACTGCTCTCCCCAATGAGGTCCACCTGGTGCTGACTTAACATCTTTTTGCCAACAGGTTAAGACCTTCCTCTTTTTTCAAGCATTTGATAGGGCAAGCTGAGTGGGCTGTTAACTGGAGCTACTGTTGGCTTCTCTGCTGGTTCTGTTTGGATCTGCTATGTAATTTTTTCCTGCTGCTTTTTGAAGTATTTGTTGCTTTGGTGTTCTATAATTATTTATTACTGAGGGCTGTTTATGTTTTAACTTTTCTGTGTATTTATTCTACGCTTCCTAGAGACTGCTGTGCATTAAGCAACAACTGAAATAATAATATGATTAAAAGTAAAAGTATAAGATGTATATGGAAAAATACTTTGAAAAGGTAAAGCAATTTCTCCCATATAAATTGGGTTTATATAGCCATATAAATATAAACCATATCCATATAGATTGATCGAAGTGGGGTAAGTAACCCCCAAGGAGAGGGACTTTTTGGTAGTGGCACCCTGTTATGAAACAGTCTTCCCAAAGAGGCCTCTCCAGTGCTATCTTAGTGGTCCTTTTTGGTGACAGAACCATTTTGCTCATCCAAGACTTTGAAATATGTCTTGGCCCTCTCCATTTTAAAATCTGTGTTTCATATTGTATTTTAATTGCTTCATTTGTCTTCTGAGCTTAGCAGACAATTTATGTTACAGCCATGCTAGAAACATTCAGGTAATAAACAGAAATAAAAAGTCCTCCTAACACGTTTCAATTGGGATGCAAGTTACAAATAAGCCTTTTGACATCCAGCTTCTTGCAACATTCAAAAGAATTTAGAGGTCAGAAAGAGACATTTAGGAAGAGCCAGCTTGTTTGTTTATTTATTTAGTCACCTAAATGTTAGGGGCCATGGCTCCAACTATTTCCAGACTGAATTATAGCTTGGGGGGTACTATTTTCATTTATATAAGAAAAGTTTGCAGTTCTTGGCTCATATGTACCTGGTGCAGATTTATAAGGTGGTGATTCAGGAATTCCATGAATTGGATAGATCCAACGAATTCCCCGGATGACTTCATCCTTCATTATTACAGTGTTGCTGAGAAACAGAATTTATACATATGAATATGATTACTCTAGAACATTGATACAAGTGATATTGACAATACAATTAACCAAGATTTCCAGCAATGCTTTGTGACCATTTTGAAATTTGTTCAGTGGGACCAGCTTCCAGAAGGTGCTGTCATTTTGGAACAGTGGTACACTCAAGTAAAAGGCTTTTGGTTGTTTTTAAATCCACTTCTTAGGACGATCATACATAGACTTCTTATTAACACTTTTCATTAAATCAAAACAAAAGATAATTAAATGAATCATGTTGGAAGTTAATCTGCGCAGTAAAATTTGTTTTCAGTTGGAGTTGGACACAAATACCGTATTTTTTGCTCTATAAGACTCACTTTTTCCCTCCTAAAAAGTAAGGGGGAATGTGTGTGTGTCTTATGGAGCAAATGCAGGCTGCGCAGCTATCACAGAAGCCAGAACAGCAAGAGGGATTGCTGCTTTCACTGCACAGCAATCCCTCTTGCTGTTCTGGCTTCTGGGATTCAGAATATTTTTTTTCTTGTTTTCCTCCTCCAAAAACTAGGTGCGTCTTGTGGTCTGGTGCGTCTTATAGAGCGAAAAATACGGGTATATTCTAAGATAGTGGCTATTGTGTTTTGCTACCATCCTATCCTCAACTATTTACTCTTCTTTTCTATAGAGAACTATATTCAAAGGAGATAACAGACTGAAAGCATAACACATCAAAATAATTACTACAATCAAATAATTTAAAATACAGATTACAAAATTCATTGCTCAAAGTATATCAATTAAACAGTTTGGTACAACCACCACTATCAATCAAGGGCAACAGGCTGAGTACATATGTGGCTCTGAGTATCCTGTCCATACCCCCTGGGTGAACAAGTGGAGAGGTATCCATATCAGCCTGACCAGACAGAGCCATAGCTACATCACAGACCATTACTATTGTAACTGCAGCTTCCAAGTCAGAATTGTATGCAGTGGCCTTAATCCTTAAAGTGTTTAGCAAATCAGTGGCAGCAGACTACTGAAGGTTCCACTAACTTCCTTGGTAGGAGTCTCTCACCATTCAGAAGATCTATGCTGGATGACGGTGGAGTCTATATGCCGCTTTCTAGAAAAAGAACACCTAGAACCAGGTGTCAGGTTCCAGAGCCACCACTTCAGTTTCAGATATCCAGAGGGCATCATTGCTACGATTTGTATTTTGAATAATGGGGGGGGGGGTTCTTAAAAAATAAAAACTCTGAGAAGATTTTCTGGGATAGCCAGCTAAGATTTGTTCTGCAAGATGGCTGTTTCAGGGGACTGAGTTTCTAAAGCTGGCAGAGAGGATACTTGGAACATAACCCAAGTGCATTGATCTCCACCACTTTTCTCCAGGGGCAAGGTACTATCATATCAACTAGCATCTTCACACCTCTAAAATTCAATAATATCCATCTAATAAGCCCTAGATAGCTCAGTTGACTAGAGTGTGGCGCTGATAACTCAAAGGTTGCAGGTTCGATCCCCGTATGGGACAGCTGCATATCCCTGCATTGCAGGGGGCTGGACTAGATGATCCTCAGGGTCCCTTCTAACTCGACAGTTCTATGATTCGATGTATAGTAATACTTGAAACGTTTGCAAAGTGTGAAAAATCATTCTAGACTTAGTAAATTCTAACCATTTCTAACCACTGCAACATTTATAGTAATATATAAATACTACAATAAACAGTCTTCTAAAGTGATAGAGCTCACAATTATTTTTCACTTCAAATAATAGCAGATATCAATTTTATCTCCTCTGTGACTAAAATGTTTACCTTGTTAGTGCTCTGTTTAATTCGAAGGTGTCATCGTAAGACCATTTATCAGCATCCAACTTTTCAACTTTAATAACCAGCACAACTTCATACAGTTTCATTGAGTGAGGTGCAAAGAATACTGGAATATCCAACTTGTTTTTTGGAGCCAAAACGATTCCTAAAAATACAATAAGTAATTTAAACACATATTGTGAAAGGAGTGGTTTGTCAACTACTCACCATCATGCCAGAAATTTATCTCCTATATATTCAGAGTCAGTTTCATGGAAATAACACTTTGGTATAGTATTTCTCAAACTGTGGGCCATAACGTGGGCTGACCTCCCCCTTCTTGGCTGCCATTTTGCAACTGTTGAGTACAGTAAAATTTTCAACATTTTCAAGAAGACTTTGTGGACAGAAAGTTTGAGAATCCATGCTTCTGGTATATAAAGAAGCACATTTAAATCGGTTAATAAGTGACACAGTTTTCCACTGGAAAATTCCATGTGTGTGTGTTTGTCTCAAAAGAAACGGCAAATTGTCTTTTAATTGGAGTTTTGTGGTATGGTGGTTTTTACAATTTACACAGCAGTGCTTGGCTTCTAAAAATCGAAACAGTGGTGCTATGTAGAGTTGTGCCAGTCTTATCTAAATATTTTAACTCTGTTACAAATCATATTTGTTACCTTATAAATATGCAAAATAGATGGAAACAGAAATTCAAGTGTTTGATTAGAAGAGTAAAAGCATCTTGTGTTTCAGGTACAGTGTGTCAAAGGAAAGTTTTCCTTACATAGTTTATTGGTGGTTCCTCCCTGGGAAGCCAGCAGGGTTTTCACTCCAAAACTAAAGAGATGCATATACCATCCCCCACTTGTCTTGCAGGTACTGATTTCCCCAATACACTCTAAAAGGTAAAGTACATTTAGTGCCTACGGAAGTTGTCTGCCTACCACTTAGCATGTACAGTGGTACCTCGGGTTAAGTACTTAATTTGTTCCGGAGGTCTGTTCTTAACCTGAAACTGTTCTTAACCTGAAGCACCACTTTAGCTAATGGGGCCTCCTGCTGCTGCCGCACCACCGGAGCACGATTTCTGTTCTCATCCTGAAGCAAAGTTCTTAACCTGAAGCACTATTTCTGGGTTAGTGGAGTCTGTAACCTGAAGCGTATGTAACCTGAAGCGTATGTAACCCGAGGTACCACTGTAATTTATCAAAACCTGGAACGATCTAGGTTTGGGTGCAGGAGTAGTCATTGGAGAAATCATGTCTGAGATTCCATCAAAATACAAAAACACACTTCGGAAAAAGCAGCTACCAGAAGCACCACTTCATGATGTTTCAACAGCAGCTTGTTTTATCTGATATTGACACCAACAGTTTAAAAACCTGTCAATGGGCTGAACCCTAAGAACAGTAAGCAGAGGGAAGCTTGGCAGATTTTATTATGTCCTCCTCCCACAGTATCCTCTTGCTTAGCCCCAGAAAAACCTGTGTGGGTGGGTGGTAGAGCCCTCCTGAACAGTGTGGGTAGAGGGAATCTCCTAAAATAGGGCAGGGCACCTTTCACATTCCAAGTAAATACGGGTAACTCACAACGTATGCTTGAGAGTGTTTGGGTGAGGAAGAGGCAGTTAGAGAGGGTGATCTAAAGAGGCCAGAGAGACATGCAGAGAGGTTTGGAGGGCCAACGAAAGAGATTGGAGTGTGGAAGAGGAGGTGGTTGGGAGAGCTTCAGACTGCAGAATGGGCCTCAAACACAAGGTGGTGTTGGCAGCATCAGCTGTTGAGAAACCAAGGAAGTGCAATTCTGCTTATACGTGCAAGAGCCAGGAACCCGCATAAGTTGCGAGTTACCTGTGCTAAAAGTCTACTTTATTTAAAAGCCTTTCCATTTCAATGTTATAACAATCTGGCCACTGGCTCTGATTCATACAGAACAATTACAAAATTCAGGGACAACTGAATCCATTGGGGTTTTCAACTTGATCGGGATTGCACCAGGTCATGATAAAAAAAAAATCCATGAATCACCTAGCTGCTAGCATGCAAAGGACATCACAGGTGCATGCCAGGGGCTCAGTGGGCCAAATCAAAAGTACAGCTGCCATTCAGAATAGCCTAGCCACAGTGATCCACACACTGGCAACCTCAGCCACAGTAATGCACTCTATGTGGTGCTATCTTTATGCATTGTTATTGTAAGGTAAAGGTAAAGGGACCCCTGACCATTAGGTCCAGTCGTGACCGACTCTGGGGTTGCGGCGCTCATCTTGCTTTATTGGCTGAGGGAGCTGGCGTACAGCTTCTGGGTCATGTAGCCAGCATGACTAAGCTGCTTCTGGCGAACCAGAGCAGTGCACGGAAATGCTGTTTACCTTCCCGCTGGAACGATACCTATTTATCTACTTGCACTTTGACGTGCTTTCGAACTGCTAGGTTGGCAAGAGCAGGGACCGAGCAACGGGAGCTCACCCCGTCGCAGGGATCTGAACAGCCGACCTTCTGATCAGCAAGTCCTAGGCTCTGTGGTTTAACCCACAGCGCCTCCCACGTCCCTTTGTTATTGTAGTCATCTTCAAAATACATGGAAGTAAATGAATATTCACATAAGCAATCCACTTGCATGAACAACTTAACATACGAAGATTTTTGTGTTATCACGGCTCCTCAATTTAACAGAAATCCCTTCTGCCAATGTTACATTGCTGATGTGAACATACTAAAATGTACTCAAGGGGGGGGGGAGCTGCCTTGTCTCAGTTTGACATGGGAAGCCCACCCTGTCTTGGTTCAGTGCAGGGGCTTGGTTTTTCTTTAGGAGATACACACAAATCCTTAAAAACTGCAATTAGTTCTTTGGAGTTTTAAAATATGTCCCTCTGTCTTCTCTTGGTAGTTTTAGAAAAGTAATTACAGCCACCAACAAACTGCAAGCTAACACATGAGTTCCTGTCATTGCATGCATTGAAAATAATTTAGTAGCAGGAAGTTCCCCCGGGGGCAACAAGACTTGATGCTATGACTATGCTCTCAGAGGGAATTGTACAGAAAAAAGCATGGCTGACCTCATGATATGCCATCAAGTACAATCATTCCCAACAGCCATTGCTACAATCAAGCAATATGCATCACGGCATGAGCTAGCTGCATGTATAGGCAGGTGGGGAAAGTGCCTATTTTGGGATGCAAATGGAGCTCGATGGAAAGGGCATCTTTGGAATTTGATGTGAATGGAGAGAGGCAGCCTTTATAAGTGAATCTACATGACCTGATGGAAACCAGCAATTTGCAGATTCCACAGCAGACAACAGTTCTCACATTGGTCAGGATGGGGAGGATCAGGTGAGCTCACATTACGCCCGCCCCACCCCCCAATCTTATAGTGCTTAATATCGTTAGGCAACTAATACAAGGAATATTTTTTAAATTACTTTTTGAAAACAGAAACACAAGAAACAGTACCAAAACAAGTGGGACTATGAAAAGAGTGACTGTGGAAACCCACCCAGATGGGTGGGGTACAAATTATTATTATTATTATTATTATTATTATTATTATTATTATTATCCTTATCCTCCCCTGTCCCAAGCCCATCTCACATTTTTTAAAAACAGATGGTGTTAAATGTGAAATTAAAGCAGTAAAAATGTCTTTGCTGCTGATCATTTTCACCACAATATCAAACACTCTTGTTCTTCTTCAAACAAACAAAAGACCTGCAAGCGGTTGGATGTGAAAATCTCTAGAAGCAGATCACCACCTGGTTTGCATGAATGGCTTGCAGGAGGCCACCAAGATGCTGTTTGTCTACTGCTATAGAGAAAACCTGAAGCAAAAAGCCTCTCTGCTAGAAATTTTTAGATAGTGTTTGTAACTGGGGAGTTGCATCCATACCACTTGAAAAGGCAGCCAAGAAGAAACAGTGCAGTATGTATCCTACCTCCCCCTTGGAAAACTTGCCCGGCTTGTGCTGTGCTGGGAGCATAAAGAGGCAGGAGCAGTTCAAGCATTAAAAGGATGCCACTGACTCAGTCATGTTCTGACCCTCAATGACCTCACAGGCAAGTCCACAAGAGGGACTATGAAAAGACTTTTAAAGAAAACACAATGAACAATTCATCTATTTGATAATACGACTGTCATAACTCAGGCAAGAATATTTACCAGAGACAGAATATTTACAAGCTCTGGTTGCCGTTTCATGAGGCTTATCTTTCATAAAGATCTTGGCACTTCCAAGAGAAGCTCTATACACTTTCACTGATTGAAAGCTTGAATTTAAAAGCTGTTCTTCTGGTATTAAAGAAAAGCAAGTTAACCAGTTGCTGTTTAGATGAGAACAAATGGATTGAGCGCTGATATCAGTAATGAAATATGCAGTGACAATGCAATTTACTTTGTTTTGAAATGAAGCCTGCTTAAAGATTGGCCATTAATAACTGCTGCTAAAAAACCCCGAAAGAAAACAAACAACCAGTCACATATTCTGGCAATTAATATTAATTTATCATAAAAAGTGCACTTACAACTAACACTATAATATACAAGATTAATGCCATGATTCTCTGCACATTTAGCAAAGTTCTGCTGGAATCAAGTGGGCTTACATCCAGGAAAATATGTCTAAGAATGAGGTGTTTAAAGAACACATTGCCAAACAGTATAGGAATAAACATAAAGAATGTTACAACTTTAATACAATTTGTTAGCCACACATATTTTGAAAGTATGTAGCATAAAGGTTTCTGCTAGAGAAAGATACAAACACCCTCTAAATTTACAGTAGTACCTCGGGTTACAGACGCTTCAGGTTACAGACGCTTCAGGTTACAGACTCCACTAACCCAGAAATAGTACCTTGGGTTAAGAACTTTGCTTCAGAATGAGAACAGAAATCGCGTGGCGGCAGCAGGAGGCCCCATTAGCTAAAGTGGTGCTTCAGGTTAAGAACAGACCTCCAGAATGAATTAAGTTCTTAACCCGAGGTACCACTGTATTATGTTTGCGTCTTTGCACCCAATTATTCTAAATCTTTAGAGTTCCATTTATGTCATTAAGGTATTGCAGGTCAATATATAAGTAAAAGGATTAACTGTTATATCAATTCCAGTAGACCAATATTTTGTCTATGTTCATATTACAGAGTAAAATGTTCATAAAATTGCAGGATGTAAATAATTCGTTCGAATTCAGATATTTGAATTTTATAAGAAATGTCTTATCTTGATAACTGGCAAGAGAGGAAGTTCCAGAGTGATTAGATCAGGAAAAAATATTGCTGACTTCTTGAAAGGAGAAAAATATATAATTATCTGTATTTGCTTTTAAATGTTGCATCTCTTTGTACTGAATTTTATTGGTCTGTGACGTTAATAAACTATTTGCTTGCTTGCTAATAAGAGTGACAGGTCCAAACTAGAGGTTATGATAAACATGTTTCTACTTATGAAGATGGCAGCCGTGTGTCTAATTCCCTCCACCTACGCTGTAACACCTAGTACGGGTTACTCACATCCTGACTTTACAATCTTCTCAATTTCCTGAACACATCAATAGTTGCGGTCAGGCTTGCTTGATAAGTCCCTATGAACTCAATGGAGGTTACTTCTATTTAAAATGTAAACGGGATGATGCAGGTAATGAAAATATTGACCTTTTACTATAGTACACAGGTACGTATGAAGGAATGGACATTCAGAAAAAGCAGCAACACATTGTGTGAGTCAATAAAACTAATTCTTATAGACTGAAGAGTGAATCCTAATAGTAGTAGTAATATTAGTAGTAGTACCCCACCCATCTAACAGCATTTAATTGTAAACCTAAAGTTTGGTCCTCATTTTTCTAATTTGTTTTCTATACAATATTTAAAAACTGACAGCTTCTGTAATCCAGAAGCAGAACGGTACAAAGACTGTGTTTTTATTAGCATCTGTGCATTTGAAACATGGCAGGGTCCCTGTTAAAGGTAAAGGGACTCCTGACCATTAGGTCCAGTCGTGATCGACTCTGGAGTTACGGCGCTCATTTCGCTTTATTGGCCGAGGGAGCCGGCATACAGCTTCCAGGTCATGTGGCCAGCATGACTAAGCTGCTTCTGGCGAACCAGAGCAGCACACGGAAACGCCGTTTACCTTCCCGCCAGCGCGGTACCTATTTATCTACTTGCACTTTAACGTGCTTTCGAACTGCTAGGTTGGCAGGAGCAGGGACTGAGCAACGGGAGCTCACTCTGTCGTGGAGATTCGAACCGCCGACCTTCTGATCAGCAAGTCCTAGGCTTTGTGGTTTAACCCAAGGCGCAACCCGCGTCCCTGTTACTACCATATAAAATAGCATTTCTAATAATCAACTTCCTTTCAAAGTTCTAAAAATTACATTGCTTTCAAAAAGAAATAACACTAAACCAGTAGCAAATCAGAGTATCAATCTATTTTAATTTTTAATTTTTTTAAATTTACATTCTGTCCTTTGTAGACACCAGGGCATGTTTATTCCAAAATCAATTGGAATAAAACTGCATCTGTTTCGTTATCAAAGTATATTAAAAGCATGTAATATTTTATTATATTTTCAACCTTAAGTCACATACTGTACTCATTTTGTAGCAGTAAAAGGTAAAGGTAAAGGACTCCTGTATGGTTAAGTCCAGTCAAAGGTGACTATGGGATTGCGGCGCTCATCTCACTTTCAGGCTGAGGGAGACAGTGTTTGTCCACAGACGGCTTTCCGGGTCATGTGGCCAGCATGACTAAACCACTTCTGGTGCAACGAAACACCGTGATGGAAACCAGAGCACACAGAAATGCTGTTTACCCTCCTGCCACAGCAGTCCCTATTTATTTATTTGCACTGGTGCGCTTTCGAACTGCTAGGTTGGCAGAAGCTAGGACAGAGCAATGGGAGCTCACCCCATCGCGGGGATTCAAACCGCCAGCCTTCCGATCAGCAAGCCCAAGAGACACAGGGTAGAAATAATATGTTCTAAACTGAATAGCTAAACACAAACTGAAGTATAGTTGTAATAAGATTATTCCTTTTATATTAACTCAGACAGGTTTAACAGCACAAGTTTTATCTAATCCAAATACCACTATTCAGAACAGTAAATTGGGAAATCTAAATTCCCTTTAATCATGGCAAGGGATAGGTTTGTATATGTGATCTGAATGATTTATTATCTTTTCTATAATAATGTTTAGAAAAGTTTGTTAATCCTAGCGAATATGTGATGGAGTATCAAAAAGAAGAGAATGACAGTGTTGAAATAGGGTATATATATTCATTTTAATTAAATTAATCTTTCGCTACAGTGAACAATTTAAATAACTCCATTTGTCGAGAACTAGAGTTATGATATTACTAGATTATAAGAGTTATGGAGAAGGTAAACAATATATTCAAAGCAGTGGGACCCAGAAAACAGAACAGTGAGCTAACTTTGGCTCTTTCTATAATCTGGAGTTATGGGACAGCTGGAAGATATATTCAACAAGTACTACACCCTTGCCAGCAATGTTTGTACTATCAGGATGGGATTTCCTGGACAAGATGGCAGTGGATTTTTTTTTTTCTCTGGACCTTCCTACTCCAGAGAAAGGGAAGGCACTAAGATCATGGGAACCTTTGGCACCAACCTTTGGCAATAAACAACCTAATTCTCTGTTTAGTGGCTTTTGATAGGATAAGGTGAGCCAGCAGCAGACTGCCTACCAGTACATTCTTCTCCAGCAAAACTCAAATGACTACTGCATCTATCAAACCCATAACCTGCTCATCTGCACTAGTCTCAGCTACCAGAAGATTGCTAAATGTTTTAGCTACTACAGGTGGAAGGGTTGGGAAAGTGGATGGAATAGTTTTTTTCCACATTCACTGTCCGTCATCCAGTGGGTGCCAGTGGCTGCAACCAAGCTGTGCAGATGTCACTTAGTGGGGTGGCAAGTGGGGAGAGTCATCTACTGGAGCCATATATATACACTGCATATGTACATGTTAGATATGTTTACTGAACCACATCAATGAATACTCATCTAAGACTCAATTGGGAAGCTGGGAGGAATATTTCCTTCTCAACATTTTCTGCGTGGGCCACACTCAGGCATAGGCAAACTCGGCCCTCCAGATGTTTTGGGACTACAACTCCCATCATCCCTGACCACTGGGGATTGTAGTCCCAAAACATCTGGAGGGCCGAGTTTACCTATGCCTGCTCTAACTTGAGGACAGCTCGCAACCCATGTTAAACAAATACGAGTCCCACCGCTACAATATATAATAGAGCAAAACAGTTGTGCTTTTATTGTTTCGTTAAATGGGAATTAAGCTACATAAATGAAAATATATTTTCAATCGTTATGCAGATCACTTTGCAAAAACATACATAAACCATACAATTGTGTACCTTGTTTTTGCTTGAGGGAAAGCCAGAAAATGCTGTCCTTATTGGAATGGTGGGATACAGATGCATGGGGATTATGCATGACATGCTCCTGATCTAATAAAAAGAAGGGAAAGAAAAAGAAAATTCTGTTATGCTTCAATGTCACATTCAAGGAAAGGAATTCACTGGAGGTTGAAATGTGATCAAAGGCTGTTCTAATGTAAGAACTGATGAATGCTCTTCAAAGTATACTTTGAAATAGGAGATGACAGTTTTTTAAGGTCTCTCTGCATTTTAATCGTTCTCCTATGCATGCCAAAAATGACTATAGCTGCTCATGGAATCCTATTAAAATTATTTGGAATAATATACCCCCTAAAACCAAAGTTTTGGAAAAGGGATGTGAAAAATGTTTGTTCTATAAAAATATATAGCAAAGAAGGACTCTCCTTCCTCAGAGGTTTTTAAGCAGAAAGTTGAGATTTGTGCATTGCACAGAGTTGGATGAGATGACGCTCAGAGTCTCTTCCAACTCTCCAATTCTATGAAATTATATTCCAAACTGAAATTTTAACTAAATTCATAAAGGCCTATTTGCAGCACCTCAGCATGTTACTTCTTGCTGTATACTGCATAGAAGTTTCTGGAGACAAGCGATTTAATCCATCCCAGATAGATCAAATTTAATTATGACTGTACTACATGGCGAGATGACCAACAAAATAAAAATAAAGCTCAATCTCACACAATACATAGCTATGGAAAAATATGATACCAGAAAGAAACAATTGGTGCTGCAGCAGTGAGAAAATCGTCAGTATTAATTTGATCTGATAATCAGCAAACATAAAGTTATACAAACTCTGATGAATTACTACTGGGCAATCCAAACTCCAGTCTGCCAGCCTGGAGGCAGTTAGGATACAGTGCAACCAGGGAGCCCTCCAGCCAAAATGCAAAAGCAACTCACTGCTGGCTAAATGCCATTTGCCCAGTTGCAGGCAGCCCAGCAAGAGGAAGCTGCCCAGAGTGGCTGGGTAGTGTATAAATAAAATTATTATTATTATTAAGTCAGACTCACCATTGATTAACAGTGTAATGGGCCCCCAAAAAGGCCAAATCTTGAGAGTAGGATTGAGAGAAACACAATCCCCAGTACCTGCCGTGCTACTATGGAATATTACAGATTATGGGGAAGAGAGACATTTCACCCTACTGTAGACACTGCAGCTGTTAGATAAGTGAGTTGGGACTCCTTCTCTTTAAAATTCAAGGTAGAGAAGAACTGAGATGCCATAATACTTGCCTTTGAACTGAAAGCAGTCACTCATTGCTGAAATTTATATTCCAAGCCAAGGAATAATGAATTTATATTCCAAGCCAAGCAACATCACTAATTTTAATATCACCTATTTTCATACAGAATATATAGGAATCATAGAAACAGAGAATTGGAAGGGACACTGAGGATCATCTAGTCCAAGCATGGGCAAACTCGGCCCTCTAGATGTTTTGGGACTACAACTCCCATCATCCTTGACCACTGGTCCTGTTAGCTAGAGGTGATGGGAGTTGTAGTCCCAAAACATCTGGAGGGCCGAGTTTGCCTATGCCTGATCTAGTCCAACCCCCTACAATGCAGGAGGAATATGCAGCTGTCCCATATGGAGATCGAACCTGCAACCTTGGTGTTATTAGCTAATAACACCATGCTAATAAATATGGGGTTTTCATTAGAATGCCCGTGGCGTGGAGGGAAAGATATGGTAACAGGCCAAGCTGACTAGCTTTTGAGGGAGTGAACGGCAAATAACAGGAAAACTATGTCTACCTTATATTTAACAGTCTGTATGGTAGCCATAGGTGACCAGGAATTCCATGAAGGTGAGTGAATGGGATGGTGGAGAAGAGATGGCTCATTGTGTTCTTTTTCCAGCAGCCTGCTCAGGGATGGCCCACATATAAGGCCAGGTGAGGCAACTGCCTCAGACAGGGGCAGCAGATTCCAATGTAGATCTTCGCTCACCCCTTATTCCCTGGCAAGGAGGGAGGCACCCTTTGCTGGTTCACCTCAGGTGCCAAAATGTATTGGGCGGTCCTGAGCCTGCTTGGTTTCTTTGCTAACCACAAGGGGGAGCTATATTTCCTCCATGGTTACCATGGAAATGCACTGGGCTAGAATGAAAGGATGGTTCCGTCCCTCTCCCCACTCCCGAGCCCCACCAGTCTGCTTCATAAAAAGCAACTTAATAATGAGCTGGAAGCCTGCACTTTCAGGTTTCTCATTCCCAGTGGCCAGAATGGTAACACAGCCTACTAGCCTCTTAATAGATTAGTTAAAAATTCAGGGTAGCAACTTTGGAGGCTTATTTACAAGGCTGAATTATGCAAAGAACCAACTCGTCCTTCCCTCCTAACATCCCATAGTTAGAAAGATTTATAACTTGTACACAAATTTGCTTTGCATGATTTAACGCGACAATTTAACTGTCATACCATCCATTAATTCATCTCAACCTTCTTCTTCCGAAAACTTACAATACTGGTCTTTACTACAACTCTTATCTCAAACTTGGGAATGTGAAGGTGATCACAGCAGCAACAGATAGGTACCTAATTAGTTGAGTTGACATTTACAGTGATTGCCAAAAAGACTATAATGGAAAACCAATTTCAGCAACATTGTACCGGGTATGGTGAATGACACATGTGAAAAAAATTACAGTGAGAGTGGAAAAATAGCCTGTCAAGAATCACATGATGTTACATCTGCACTGTCAAACTGTCTAGCAGATTGTTATACAGAGCAACACTGGTAAGAGTTGAATATATGCTTTCTCCAACTCTGCTGGAAATGAGACTCTAAATGACCTAACTCACGTTACAATATTAGTCCACGTGCACTTGGCTGACACTGTACAAAGACAAAGAAGCAGTCTTGCTCTCCTAGATTACAAAAGCAGTGTATTGCTCTTAAACAAACAGTGTGTTTCAGAATGTGTTGTCCCAGATAATCGATTAGTGAGATTATAAGAAATTACTTCTTCTGGGTATTTGTTCATGTATTTGACAGTTTGCTAGTGCCTGAAAATATTTATTCTCTGCCAAACTTAGTTTTTGCAATATAATTTTGATAAATTGTATTTGTACAATTATTGAATACTTTGGGTGGGGTTCACCTAAGAAGCCTTATCAGCAAAAGTCCTGTAGAAGGTCTCCCACTACTACAACAAGACTTTTCCCCTCCGCTCGCTGCCAAAACTGGCTCAAGGGGGTGGTTAAAAACAACAACCACAAAACAGCACGCAGGGGAAGGAGAGGGATCATTCTGTCTGACAAACTGAAAAGATTCTACAGATAACACTGAATTCCCACCTATATCTTGCCTACCTGCAGAATCCTATGTACGTTTTACTCTGAACTAATTACGGTTGTGTTCACTCACAGGTAAGTGTACAAAAAATTGCTGCCTAAAACAAGGACCGTGCTATTTTATAAGAGTGTGCTGGCATATACTGAGTAAATAAATATAATGCAATGGTTAAAAACAGACCTATAGTTATGCTCAAAATAAATGTTTTAGTTAACGTTTTCAAATTTTGTGATGTTTATTTGCTCTTAATTATGTATATTGAATTAAATGGTCTTTGAAGGTTCTAATACCAACTACCCAGAGGGAAAAACTGCAACAAAAAGAAGTTTGGACTAGACTGCTACAAATCCAGCATTTAGTTCTGCTGAATACTTCACAGAAATTAAAAGAGTTCCCAGAGAAGTATAAGAGCAGTCAGAAAATATTTCCACACCAATTTAAGCAAAACGGCTATTTCACCAAGAAAATGGGTTTGACCAAGCTACACTGTATACAATTATGTTTTGTAAATACAGTAGTTTTAGCTTTAGAAATGCAAAGGATGAGGCAGCTGCTATACTGTGGCAGTGAACAACCCCAAATATTGCTACAGAGATCTGTTTTAAGCTTAAAATGCTTACACAAGTAGATAAAGTCAGATCCCAAAGATGGAGCAATTACTCTCCTAAACTGATTAGTAATTGCAGAGACATTAATCTTTTAGTTCAGCACTTATTAGCATAAATGCCAGTTGCACTTTTAATGTATTTTCCCCCTGTGAGGAGATACCAATATGTAAATCCCAATTTATGCAGATAAACATGTTTAAATATTACTGTATGAATGAATTTACAAGTCCAGAATTTTATTTGCCCAGAACAATGATAGAGCTTCAGTAAGTGTTGCAGAGGAAAAATCTAGGTCTTGGTGCCTTTAGCAATTGGAGGTCAGATGTTGATGTGGATTGATATGTTGGGGAATTCCAACAACCAAACCATGCAGTCTTGTGAACCTAATGTAGATAGTACAAAAATATAAACAACAATGAATAGTCTATTTGCAAAATAATGTTCACTGAACCCTGAAGCCAAAGATTCAAGTAGTTACTTGTGAATCATTATGTAAACCTAAATGCATTTAGCTTCTTGATCTATTTAGGAGAAAGGCCATGCATAGTTCAGTGGTTAGAGCATTTGCTTTCGGAAGGTACCAGATTCAATCCCTGCTATAAACAAGCAGGGCTGGGAGAAACCCTGTCTGAAAACCTGGAGAACTGCTGGCAGTCAGAGTAGACAATACTGAGCAAGATGGACCAATGGTCCTTCTCTGTATAAGATACGTCCTAGTTCCTATTTGCTTCCTCTTCTTACTGTGCCTTTCTCCCCCAAGTTTGCTTGGTGTCTGCCACAATAGTATTCATCTGTGCACATGATTTCTGCAGGGATTATATTGAAGGTCGCTTCTTATATCATTTCTGTGGAAACTGTTTTAAGAAAGCACATTACAAATAGCAGCCCAATACAATGATACTTCTAAATACGCCATTTGGCACAGTGTTTAGACTCGGTTTGCTTCTTATAATAGTTCTGTTGCTGTGCAAATCAGAAGAGATACTGACTTGAATGATAAATCAGGACAAAACATGCTGTTTTCTAAATGGTGCGGAATGAAATGGTGTAATAGTAACACATCTCTTCCTTCCAAAAATGTGATCATCAATATGCGTGCAGCATAAAACTGTTGATAGCCATTTCCTAACCATGTGCATTACACTTCTCCGGGTCAGATTTTAAAAATATCCTGGGTCAACTAAAAGGCTGATTCAAGTCCCAAATGCATGGGGTTCATGCAATTTCTCACGGCAGAGCAATCCTAGTGTTCCAATGGGGAACATCAACCATTAGTGCTTGCTTTTCAGTGCAGAATTGTGTTAATCCCATGTACAGACAGGTGTACAATTCCTTTGTATAAGTGATATTCAGAAGGAAGGAATTTCTTGAAGGAGGAGGCAGCCTGGCAGTTTGTTTTAATGCTCTTTTTTCATCTTGCTCCCCAGAGTACACAGAAGGAAAGCCCCAAACGTATTCCAGGCTTTACCCAGGCACACTAAATAGAGTCTTAAACACACACACAAGTACAATATAGAAAGGGTCATGTAAGCTTGGAGCCAATTTAGAGCAGGTGGAAGAAGCAGAGATTAAATATTTCAGATTTACTGAATAATTTTTAGGAGAGTCTCTGTTCACTTCAGTTGCATTTCAGAGCCATATGAAAGGTGTATTTTTAAAGCTACTTGGCAACATTCCTGTAGCTCAAGAAGTGTCTTCCTCACTGTCCCATCAGAGAAAGCAGACTTGTACCAAGTCAGATCACTGGCCCATCTGACAATGACTCTCCAGGGTTATAGACAAGGTTCTTTCTCAATCCCACTTGCAGAATTCAGGGATTGAATATGGGTCCTTCTGCATGAAAAGCAGTTGCTCTACCACTAAGATATAGGTCTTCTGCACTCAACAACAGATAATAGATTAGAACGACAGAAATTTATCCAAAAATGCACTAATGCCATACAGGTAGCAACCAATTGGTGCGTGGGTTATGTTCTGGATCCCTGTGCACATCGGGAGGGCCTGTAGAAGTCCATCCTACCCTGTTCCACCCCATCCCCATCCCACCCTGCCCCTTTTGTGACATGGTCACTTCCAGGTTTGGCGTGATGAGAGCAGTCGTAGACATACACATCAGTTGCACCTAAAATGGTCACTGCCTGTATGATAAGGAATAATCCCTAGACCAGTGTTTCCCAATCTTGGGTCTCCAGCTGTTTTCAGACTACAATTCCCATCATCCCTGACCGCTGGTCTTGCTAGCTAGGGATGATGGAAGTTGTAGTCCAAAAACAGCTGGAGAACCAAGGTTGGAAAACACTGCCTTAGACTCATTAAATTTAACTTCAGAGCATTAAGTCCCACGCATTGTTTGAGGTGAGGGAAGTACTGTCTAACCTCACCCTGTTTTTAGACTTGCCTAGGGCTTTCTTTGTCTTCTTTGGGAGGCCAGGTGAAAACCTGTTTATTTGTCTAGGGTTTTGTTTTTTAAAAAACCTGTCTATGGATGCTTTGCAGTGGAATTTGATTTGTTCTGAAGCTGTGCTTTATTGCTGCCATGGTGCCAGGTATATGTAGAAACAATAGTAGTTTCAAGCATTTGATACAGTAGGGACCAACATGCTGTCAGACAAAAAGAAAGGCAAAAGTGGTCCATCGCCAAAAGCAATCCAAGTTATAGATGGAAGACTGACTTGAAACCGTTTTAGGGAGCCCTGGTCTACTACCCGACCTGCTCTGACCTGTTAGCAAAAGATGCACCCTTGCTGGTAAACTGCTTTCCTTGTAGTTTCCTACTTTGGCTAGAGCTGGGGGGTGGTGAACAGGGTAAACCCTTCTTGATGTCCTTCAGATTGGCAACTAAAAAGCAGATTTGAGATCCAGCAATGATATCCCCCCCCCCCGAGAACTTAGTTCACCAAGTGTAAATACAGATAAATCCTTCTGTGCCCAAGAAGAAAACACACTTCTTTGCCTGTGGGCTGGCAAAGATTTCCACTCAAACTTAAAGTATGTGCTGAATGCTCAACCCCCTATTGTTTGAGCAAAGCAACATGTCTGGATACTGAATTCAACTGAACAATAAGGACTTAAGCATTCAACATATATTGCATGATAAAAGGAATCTACTGTACCTGTTAAAAAGACATCCAACACTATGTCTTCAAATGTAGGATTCCTGAAGCTTATGATGATAGAAGAATGGTGACCAAGGCAAGAACTCACACAAGATGGCTCCAATGGCTGAGGAATCAGACCAACCCCAGACAATAAAAATACCCATTCCTCAAGCTGTGGTAAGAATAACAATGTTCACATTTTAATCAGACACCACTTCTTTGTTTGTTTGTTTTCATTTTCCTGTAAATGTTAAGCTTCAGGTACAAATATGATGGCCCCAGTCAAGGGGTTTTTCTATACATAAGCAACTCCAATGCAAACTCAGAGCTCAATGCAAGGAAGACCATTCACTTGCAGCACTAGATAGATAGCAAGCCAATTCTAGCACAATTTCTTTGGCTTCCTTCTTTAAAAAAGTTTCATACATTCCACCTGTTACCCTTAATTGGTAATAAGCTAATTAAGCATTAGAGGAAAGCTGTTTCAGCCACTTCACTGCTTACATTTTTTGAAGTGAATTTGAGATGATGCATTATTCTTAGCAGCATATTAAATAGAAGAAGCTGAAAAGAATGTAATCAAAGAATACTTGACACTCTAATAATAGATCCTGCTCGTCTCTAACACTGCTCAGTATTATTAGTCTCACTCCATTACATACAGATATTGCTGGTTTACCGGGAAAACTAGGTGCTATAAGTATATTAGTATCTTGACTAACTGTTCTACTCATCCTGGCATTTCTGTTGTGCTGTTCCAACAAAGTTAATTTCAGTGATCAAAAACAAGAACAAAGTGATTGCAGTCAGAGTTCAAATTCGTATTGCAGAGTGTTCGCACAGCTGCAAACCAGAAACAAACGAAGCAGATAATAACCCATAGTGGTTTCTCTCAATTCAGCAATGAGGCACAATCAGAAACAGTTAAGCCTTGTCCTATAAGTCCTGTCATTAGCTGATTTTATATTAGTCAGTTACTCAGCTATGAGACAGCTTAAAGTGTCAGTTCAGAAGCATTTAATCAGTGAAATCAAGGGAAGAAAATCAATGCCAATTTTTAAGGTTAAAGTTTTGCCAGGCTTCCTATATATACAGTGAAAAGGACCCCTGAAAGCCTTTCTCAAATAATCTTGGCACTGGAATGGTAGAAACGCAATGCTGATGTATATTCAATCTGCTACCATCATGCAATAGTTTAATACCTTTCTCTTATGAAGTTCAGTCGATAATTCAAAGGTTTCAGATGATTTAAGGATGAAAAGAGCAAAGTGAGTCACAAAGGTTAGAGCAAAACACTGAAAAGGTTGAGAGGGCTGGACACAGCAAGTGAAAGGATGAGATATTGATTAAAGGTTTGGCTGAGATAAAACTTGAAGATTTGCCACTATTTGACAGGAGAGGCATGTTGACAAAAATTGAGTGTCAGTCCTCAATTTGAACCTGAAAGGTTTCAGTGACTTATTTGCTTATTTTATGGCTTTGGTATTTGATAAATAACAAGACTTTTTAATTTATTGATCAAAGTTCTATGAGCTATCATGGTTTCAGACAGAATAATAGCACTTCATCTTCTTGAACTGTCCTTGTATATACACCATATATACCAGAACTGCTAGCATTTAGTTTATCTTGCTGTTTTTCTTCCAAATGCATGTTAAGGAGAGAAAAGAATCCAAACAGTATACTTTGTCAAGCAAACTAAACTTACCTGCTTTGATTTTCAGATGAATGGGGTTTTTAAAGTGAAATCAGTGGAATTAAAATATAGCAATAGTGCAATCCTATAGCTGTCTACTGTGAAGTAAGTCCCATTGTGTTTTGCAAGACTTGTTTCCAGGTAAATGTGTCTTTCCAAGGCTAAAGTATAAGGACTCTGGTGTGAATCCAGCAATTTGGCTTAATTTGGTTATGGATTAGTCTGTAAATCACTTAAAACTTTCAGAAAAAAATATTGGTTTTGCTACATTATAAGGAGTCATACATTTTAGCTAGCTGAAGTGCTAATCACATTAGATTAGAGAATCAAATAACCCAACAAGGGAATAATATGCATTTCAGAAACCAAACATTTTACTCAAGCACAAATAATATGCAAACATTACAGCATGTGTCATAATATTAGCTCATTTATTTTGTCTCTGACTGCAGCTTTCAGTAAGGTAGAATTGGTGAAGGAGATGAATATTGTTAACTTAGTTATTTCCCTTTCAAAATTCAACACAGTAAAGAGGCAGGAAATGCTAATATTCTGAAGAAACCTTTAAGTAAAATTAGATCTAGTGTTTTCAAGCACTTCTTTGTAATAAATAGGACATTAGCATATGAGACTTGTATTTTTAAAAGTCATTAATAGGTTTTTCAAAAGAACAGTGGCATTTGTAATTGTATACATTTTAGATTACTTTCCTGAATGTTAACCAAGCCATAACTGTTAGTAACCTCAGTCAAATCTCAAGTACCTAATTGAAAATCAAGAATATGTCCATTTTCAAATGGACGACCCATGAAGGATCCAATATCAACATTCCAATAACCTCTGAGCAGGATTTTAAAATCACAAGGCCCTGAGCTTTATCAGGCCCAGTAGCACTTTTCTTCAGCCTCTGCAACCCCGTGTTGTTTCTGATCTATAGGCTAGTCATTCAGGAAGAATGGCAGGATAGAAGCTTTGGCAAGTGAAATACTGTACACTAGCCTAACTTTTCCTGCCGCTGGACCATATCTTAATATTTTACAATGCTAGATAATATTTAATTCATCAAATCTAATTGAGCATCCATACCTGTGGGCACATGAAAGTGATTTTTGCTGTGTGGTTGGCCCTTCCTAGGGCAGAAGGAAAAAACTGAACTGGTACTTCAGTGGTGGAATGAGGCGCTACAACCAACTGCACAAACATTGTGGGAGACAGAGAAGAGAGGGGAGGAAATGAAAAATAAAAATCAATTTTATTTTGGAGCCAGTTCTTTTATTGTGCCTTGTATCAACACTGTTGATGTTTACGTAATTAATGTGTTCCACTGTATGCCTTCTTCACTCTCAGCATGCAGGATCTGCTAAGACTGATAAAGTGTACTGCAGTAAACAGTGCTTAGCGGCAGTTGCAGCACATGTATTCCCCAGAAACTAAAAAAGATTGTGTTACTAGCCACAAAGAAAGAAGTGGAGGCTGTTTTTAAAGTATGGATGAAAGAAAGAGAGTTTCAGTTTTTCAGGTCATATACTGCCACTATATCTTCTTTTTTCACATTACAGAGATGCTCAGAAGTCTTATATTGCTGCACAATTAAAAAGCCAGATACTATTTTTAAAGGGCAATGTGCAGTATATATTTACAGTATGTGCTGTTGTCTCTGTTTTCCATCTACAGTTATGCACATTTATATGGGCTCAAAGAAACTACCATGCTGTGATGTGCTTACTCCAAATTAAAAGAGTTGGATTCACAATTCCATAGGGATAGGCAAAGTGGCCAACTATATGGTGATAAGATAAAATTGTTTGTGCTTCTAAGCAAGGAATTAACATCTAAATCCAAGAATAAAATTACTTGGTACACGTGCAGCCTAGTGCCAGACATCCAGCAGCATATCTGCCTGAAACATACATATTTTTGCTGCAGATTCTAATTGGTTTTTCTAGTACACCATCCAAACAACCTTCAACTTTGCTAATATAAAGGCTGCCATGTTTTTCTTTCTGTCTAATTTCTCCTTAACCAGGAAACTATGTTTCACTTAAGGCACGAGTCAGATCTAAATAGCAGTTAGGGATACAAGATAAACATGGTCATTGTTGTGTTGTTTTTTGTTTGTTTTTGCATTTTAATATGAAAATTTCCAATTAATGGTTTCCCAAACCATTTTTTTACATGGGATATAAAGCAAATGCATGATCTCATTTTTATGTTAATAACAAATATAATATTAATGCATGTTAAGAATATTAAGATCCCGATGACTAATATTAATATTATAAGCATCCACACGAGTGTTGCTAAACTAACCATACAGTTTAAATGTGAAACTTGTCTGTGTGGCACAACACAATGTGTAACACGCAACACCTTTGTTGCATTCACAGTGCTCACTTAGAAAATCATACAAATGCAACTGAGCATAATAAGATGAGAGTGCACTGTGGTACTGTCAAAGCGCAGAAGGGAATATCTGTATACTTGGTTCAGGGTTCAAGTTCACAAGCCGTTATTCATAACTGTGCATGCATTGAACATGAAATATAAATTTTGCTGAGAATCACATAAAACATATGCAAGACAGTTAGACCCTGGGCCCCCTCCGGGTAAGCTGAGATCAAAGCTTTTATAGAAGTCAGTCCTTATCCCAAAAGCTGATCCACTTTATTGTTATTCAAGAAGCTTCTTTGCTATTAGGCTGATTACAATGAAATTTGCTCTATTGGTCAGGACTTGGTGATATCTATCTTGCATCCCTCAGGCTGCTGCTAAAGGCATGGCTTCCTACACTGACTCCCTCCCCATTTATTTATTTATTTATTTATTTATTTAGGCAACTTATATCAAACCCTTCACTCAAGGGTTTCCAGGTGGGCTTCAGCCCAAAGAGAGAAAATACAAAACCACACAAAATGCAAGCTGGCATATACAATTAAATCACAGTTAGTGTTCCTTGATTATACTTGGGCAGCACCCAGCAAAACTAGATTTTTATAATGAAGATATATGACTATTAGAAGCCCTGCCTCAGTCTAGCTCCAGAAATACCATGCTACAGTTAACTATACACAGGCAACTATGTTTAGCATTCTGCGGAGCAGAAAATTCATCTTTAAAAAGTTTTTCTTCTATGTAATATTAAGAGCTTTTAAAAATAATAATCAAGTGTTAAGCTCAAAAGGTGAGAGATCAGTACTTGATAGAAAAAATCTTTTCTAAAAGAATTCATATACTATAGCACAAATACACACAAAAAACTCTAAGAGATGCTAAAGGTATGGGTGTCCCACAATTTCAATTAGAATCTGAGATCCTGTGCACTTTGAAGGTTCTCTTGAAGCAAAAAGGTGGCAGCTGGCTGATTACTAAAAATGCTCAAAGCCACCATATTTTAAGGAAGAGGCAGAAGTGAAAGTGTTTGAAATTCACATGCCCAGTGTTGAAGACTAATGCATTTGGGATTGAACACTTTCATGAAGTAAATTTAGGTAATTTATTTTTAATGTGCCTTTACAGATAATGTGCCATGAATAGTGGTGGCATTTAAGCATCTGGTAATGAATTAGAAAAGCTGAAAGCAGGAAGGGTATATTAAACTGCCTGGACAGTTTGTATGCAGGCTACAGGAGTCAAAATTCATTATCATTAAGTTTAATCAATTTCTCTGCTAATGATCTGACTGTAATATGTATGAACCCGTTAGAGCTCTTCCAAAAATCTATCTGCAGCAAGCTAATAATATAATGAATCAAGATCATAGTGCTATGCAAGCAAATACTGATTTGTGAAATTGTAAGTAACAGAACACTTCCAGCTTTTACTTATTTTATAATGAAGTGTTTAATATATTTTACATTAAACAAACTGAATGAGAAAATGTCCGCTCCAGCATATTTATTCAGTTTGATGAAACAGAACAGTAAAATATTCAATACATAGAAAGGTCATTTTATTGAATTCAGAAAAATCTGAATTTTGACTTAATATTACGCTACATTACAACAAAACAGAAATTTGTTATCATAAGCCAAGAAAAAGCAAACAGCTTAATAGACAAGATTAATTTGTTTTGCTTTAGAACATGAATGTCTATCTTAAATGCCACAAAGGCATTTTATAGGTTTATCTGATAGGTACATGTTTCGCTTGTTCTACCTTTCAGAAACTTGTAACAATTTACAAAGGACCTTACATTTTAAGAACCAGCACAACATGAATACATAAACAACACATAGAAAAGATGCTTCTCAGTGACTCAGCTTCAATAAAACATTAATGGAAAGGGCACAACATTCTAAAATCACAGTACTGTTTCTATCTTTGGAGGCAGAAAATGTTGCTGGCAATAGATTTTGTTCTGTCTGACAATGAACAGAACTACTAATGTCCAAATAAAAAATAACTGTCTGACAGTTAATGAGACTCTCAGGTCCATGGTTCAAATTTCCCAGTCTGGAGCCTGATGTGTGCAGAATCTACAGGACAGACTATTTCTAGAAGGGACTCAGCTGCCCATCTCAACATCTTATGGCTTGGAAATACCAAGGTTGTGGATTCAATCCCTGTACAGGCCAGCAGCATATTCCTGCATTGCAGGGAGTTGGAATAGATTATCTCTGGGGTCCCTTCCAACTCTACAGTTCTATGATTCTGTGACCTAACAGTCTAGATCACATAGTTTAAAAGTTCCTGAACACCTGAACCTGCCTTATACTGAATCTGACAAGCTGCTCCATCTAATCCAGCATTGTCTACCATGTCTGGCAGCAACATATCAAGTCGAGAAGGTTTCTGAAGCACTCTGACCAAAGAACTTTTGCTAACCAAGGTATTTTCTACAGGCAAATCATGTCTTTTATCACTGAGCCAAGATTTTCATCCAGTTGGGAAAGGAAATGCATCCCAGAAGCAGCATTTCTACCACAAGGAAACAAGCTATAGGGAGTAGCACAGAGTGGATGAGATTACTTATATTGCCACACTACAGCCTCTTGCAAATCTCCTCTTTGCCATCTAGAGACTCCATCTGCCATGCGGACCATAGAGGCAGAGTGACGGAGACAAATGTTACCTTGAAATTCAAAGGTGTCCTGAAACTTTGAGTGGAATTAGACATTGCAAAAGGCGGTGAGCTGCTACTAAAAGGACATCCCGTAACCACTTACCCATCTATCTCCAAATGTCTAGTGAAATTTATTGTTTCACTGTAAGACCTCTGGGTGTAGGGCGGTATATAAATTCAATAAATAAAATAAATAAATAAATTTGTGTAATAACAACAGAGAAATTTGTGGCACTTAAAGCGATTTATTGTGGTATGAATTTGTTGACTAGAACTCACTGCAGTAAATGTAAAATCAGCTGCATCTGATGAAATGGGCTCTAGTCAAAGTTATGCCACAATCAGTTTTGTTAGTCTTCATAGTACCACTAGGCTCTATGTTGGTTCTACTGCAGAAAAATGAACACAGCAAGCCTGCTGTGGATGGCAATGGCTGCCACCATCAGGAATGGGGCGACTCAAAAAATGTCTCCAGGGTGGAATCTACACACGTTAAAAATGTTGTGGGAATTTTTTTTAATCGTTTTAAAAAATGCATTGCATTGGCTATAGCTCACAGCCGCCATTTAGTGTCACAATTGTATATTGCACCTTACAACACATTCAAAATGTTTTATTTGCAGCCGTATAAGCGAGTCCCAGGTCACATAGTAAGTTTCACCAGATATTTTCGGCGGACGTAGATGCTGAGATACAATTGTTAGCCGTTTTGCATAATATCCGGTGACTGCCACTGAGATGTCCTTCCTCTTGCAGCCCCCTGGGCCACCTCTCACACTATTCTGCTGATTTTCCCAAGCCCAGATTGCACAGCTTTTCATGGGACAAAGGGAGCTGCAAGTGTTAGAATTGGCAAAAAAGTGCCTCCCCTGCTTCCTCCAACCAGAGTATCTTGCTGTTGCACATCCTGAGAGTGGAGGTAAAGTGTTTCTGCTCATGGGAATTCTGGATCCAAACCTATGCTTTGACCATCCTCTGTTCCCCTTTTGCCTCTCTAACAGTTTTATTGTCACCTTTGAAAAATGAAAAGAAACAGACTCCCATTTTCTCCTTTAAGCACTTAACATTTCCCAATCATATGATATCAAACTGAGAAAATAAGACCAAGTATCAATTTATTGTATTCAGTATATCCAATCTAAAGGATATTAAACACCTCATTATAAAATAAGCAAAAGCTGGCTGCTCTCTGTTACTAATCATTTCACAAACCAGCATTTGTGCAAGTAGCCAAACTCTATAATCTTGATTCATTATATTATTTACTGTAGAAAGATTCTGCAAGAGCTCTAACAGGTTCATCCATATTATGGTCAGATCATTAACCCAGAGATGGATTGGAGTTAATGATAATGAATTTTGACTTCTATAGATTACAAATTGTTGAGGACGTTTAGCAATTGTTTCCCTCCATTCAGCTTATCCAATTCATTATCAGACGTTTATATGTCATCATTATTCATAAGGATGTTGTAAAAACAAACATGCAAAAATAATCTATATTTAGTGTGAAAGGTTTTAAACCCACTTGTTTCTAAAAGCTGTTGGATTCTTATCTTTTAAGCAGGTTGGGTCCTATTGCTATGGCAACAAGAGTCCCAAAATAGTGTTCAATTCATGACAGAAAAATGGATAAGATCTTCAGTGACAAAATCTATTCAACTGTCATAATTGGTGTTTTCATTCTCCAGGAATGCCAATTTGCTCTTTCTAGTAGTGGCCATCTTTCAATGGAGTTACCTTTAAATATAACCCTGAACACTTTTAAAAAGGAATATTCTTAACTTTCCAAAAGTAAAAACAATTCTGTGTTAGAGGGCAGCACCTGGATTCTACCCATTATGAAGTTTGGCTTAATCTTTCCTTAAATGGCTGGCAACCCCTTGTCTCCAAGATTAAAGCTTCTTCATTTCTAGCATCTTTGGGGTTCATCCTTCTCTGTACTCTGATACTTTATTATTAAGATAGTTGTACAGCCCTGCTCTTTGAGATTCATGTTACATCCTCTCTTTTCACATCTCTCTCGGGGATCTTACTTCCCAATATCAATGCTCCACTAAGGTATATTTGTTTCTTTCCAGCATCTATGTTGTTCTTGGGCCTCTGTCTTGACTTTTAAAAATAACTAGCTACTACATGCTTTCTCAACATCAGATTATTAAGTTCTGTCTAGAGACTACTCCTTGCTGCTCAAAAAGCTTCAGAATACAATCTGAATATACAAATCAAACCAAATCTTTATTACGGTCATAGACCAACATGGGGGGGTGGTAGTTACAGTCATTTAAAATCTGAAAAAAATGATTTGAAAAACTAAAAAGAATTAAAAGTCTATAAAAATATAAAGGAAGCAAGGAAAGTGTAAAAGAAGGGTTAGGAACATTAGACGGGAGTGGCAGAGCATAAGAGGTTAGCATATATAAGACTATAGCTATCAGTCTATCACTCTGATATGAGTGCTCATTAAATCTAGTTTGTGACACAGGTCATCGTCCAATGAATTTTGAGCACTGCTGTGCAGAATCTGCCAACATTGTATGTTGTAGCAGGGTTGGTATCTGAAAGTAGCAAGAAGGTAAAGAATTGTCCTGTGCACCCTTATGCAGTAATGGTTAGATGAAGCTAGTATGGATGTCTCTGTAATACAGGCACTGTAGAAGTACATGCTCTGTTGTTTCTATTTGTCCAGAGTTTTCTTGCCTTTAACACATAAAGCCACCACAATAGATGTTTTCCATAATTGTTACATTCGTGCATGGCACTCTCTCATATGATAATAAAATAATTTTGTTCTTCAACTTACAGGGATTTTGGGGTCTATCTCCATAATAAAATGGGCTGTATTGCTATTCATATAGTTCAGCTCCAGAATTTCATATGTAGGATTAACCAGATGGATATTTTGACGGACCCATCTGCAACAAGCATAAAAAGTCATGTTATTACATCATTATTAAGTACTAGGATTGATTCAGGTTCTACTGAATAAGATTATTCTTGTGTATTTAGAAAGTAATGTAATGATCAATGCAGAACAAAACTTTTTACTATTACTAGCAGCTGCCCTCTTGGATCTTAAGCAAATATTTCCCATACCTGCTATCTAAATCTTTTAATTGTCAGCCTAGATCAACAGGGGCCTTAAGCAAACTAAACATTCATTCTACCATTGAATCCCCTCTTCTCGAGCTATAGCTGTACCAATATTTAAATACCTGTAATAGGCACTGAATGGAATTAATAAATCAATTTTAACATTTTGAACAATGTGAAGTATCACATTATCAGTGATCACTGTTCCTCTATTATTAAATTGACACCTAACAGATTTATAATCAATGTAGCTCTCTTTTCAAGACTAATAGTAATATATTGTGGCCTGACACATAGATTATACCTTTGATCCAGTTTTCACCATAGGGTGAGTTAAGAGTATTTCATTTATTGGTGTGACGGCCTGTTCTAGATGGGGTGGCATTCTCCCTAAAGAAGTAGGCACATGGCTTGGGGGTATTCCTTAACCCACTGTCATTAGAGGCCAAGGAAGCCTCAATGACAAGGAGTGCCTTTTTTCAGCTATGGCTATTCTTGGACCAATATAGTGTGGTATCAGTAACTTTTGTTCTGGTGACCTTGCATTTGAATTACTGCAGTGTATTAATGTAGGGCTACCTTTGAAAATGGTCTGGCAGTTGCAGTTAGTACAGAATGCAGCTACCAGGGTATCAACAGGGTCAGCAAGATGTTAGAATGCAACATTGCTCCTTAAATCACAGAACTAGCTGTCAGTAAGCTACTGGGCCCAATTCAAGATGTTGGTAATGGTCTAAAAAAAAAAAAGGTAAAGGACCCCTGACAGTTAAGTCCAGTCGCAGCTGACTCTGGGGTTGCAGTGCTCATCTCGCTTTACAGGCTGAAGAAGCTGGCGTTTGTCCGCAGTCAGTTTTTGCGGGTCATGTGGTCAGCATGACTAAGCTGCTTCTGGTGCAATGGAACACCAAAACCAGAGCAGCACATGGAAACACCATTTACCTTCCCACCGTAGCAGTACCTATTTATCTACTTGCACTTTTTGGTGTGCTTTTGAACTGCTAGGTTGGCAGGAGCTGGGACCGAGCAACAGGAGCTCACCCCATCGCAGCGATTCGAACCGTCGACTTTCTGATCGGCAAGCCAAGAGGCTCAGTGGTTTACAACTGCCCTAAATGGCTCAGTGGTTTACAAAACCCTAAATGGCTCAGGGCCCAAGTAGCTAAAGAAGTGCCTCCTCTAAGCCAACCGACTCAATGTATGGATTGGGTTATTATAGACTGCTACTTTGTGAATATTTTAGTTTTGTATTTATTTTTTTATCACGAATGTAATTTTGTACTTTATCTTTGGTTGTACATTGCCCTGGACTCTGTTCAAGGAAGGGAGATAAATACAATAAATATAAATAAATAAAGCTATGTATCAATTATAGAACTGTTAGATCAGAAATATAACAAGAAAAGATCACAAATAGCCATATAACAGAGTCCATAAAAGCTACAGCGTCTACCCTCAGTAAAACTGTACAAAAATTAATGATACCCAAACTATAAATGATGATACCTGTATTTCCCTTCAATGAAAAAGTGCAAGGGAAACTTGTAATTAACTGACTCCTCCAATAGCATTTGATTTAATGCCATAAACCTGCAATTCCTCTTGATCATTGTGTAACCTTGAGGACTCAAACAAGATGACCGCTCTATGCCTTCCACTTAAAAGACGATTCATCCACCCCTTTTCACTCCCAGCTTTTTGTCCACATGTGTTAACTACCAATTGCTCTTTGGGCAGCCTTTGTATTTATGACTGAGGCAGAATTATCAACCTTTAAGCTTACATATAAATTAGATACTCTGCTCTATGTTGTGGTTGTGGTGGTCTTTTTTTTAAAAAAAACCAACAACTTTAAAACCTTTAGTAATTTATGAAACCAAAACCATATTTTTTAAATCAGCATATGCACTACCCAACAATATGTACTTCTTCCTCAATGCTCTTGCAATTCTCGAAAATGCACGTACAAAAGATGTAGAGGTTTTGGTTTTTTAAAAAAAAACTGTTTTCCAAGGTAAAGGTCACCTGGTATTACAACATTGGTTTTATCTGGATTGTGCTATAATTTCAGAATGATTTCAATTAATAAAAATGTCACTATAAATCATAGGACAAGAGCAAAGAATAAAGCCGATGCTGGATGGGACAAGCTAAAGGTCTATGATGGAAAACTGTGATTGCAAGCACATTGCTGTACCTGATTGCATCCTCACAGCTCCCACTAAGACCTCATTCTGAGAAACAATATGATTGAATTATACCTGAGAGAGAGAGAAAGGGTGCAGTGACCTTACTGCAGACTCCTTATCTCCACCGATTTTTCATAATAGTAAAGATTTAGTCGAAGAAAAATTTACAGGCCATGTGTTTTCTGCTGCTCTCTCCCCCTGCTGTGATTGAAGCATTCATAAGAAGCTGCAGCTCGCAACACGATGGCAATCTTCATCATGTGAGCTGGACCCCTCAGAGCAAAAGTTATTGAAGCACAAAGTACTATTTGTCCTTATGGAGGAATAACAGAAAATACCTGAGACCTATTCTCCCAACCTGTGTAACTTCAGTGATTTTCTTTTATATGGTATATTTGCAGAACCTGGCTACGAGGCAATATTCAAAGGGTCTTTGTCAAGTAAATGGAGAGATAGAGTAGTAGCGACTCTGAAGTAGGATGTCCAAAGCATCCTCTGTACAGTCCAAAGTCTGTACAGAGTTTTAACAGAGTCAAATGATTAAGGGAATCAGTCCAGTTCCATTACAATGCTTTATACTGATCTACACATTGCTCCTCAGGCATCAACCAAGCTAAGCTGATGATCTTTCTGGCTGCAATCATTCAACTCCCTTGCAGTCACCTCCAAAACAATCTCTTCTAAAACACCAAGGTAGTCAGATGAGGAAGATAATAACATATTATATAATAAGATATTGCACTACTATTTCATATTTCAGCATATTTGAACTAAAGTAAGGAACAATCCTACACTTACTTTCCAAGTTCACATTCTGCTATAGGCAATTTTGTGGACCGAGGTCTCTGTGCCTTCAGTTTCAGTGCATACCAAAACTCTCCATGCTTCTCTGACTGGAATACAACACTGAAATGAGAGATATAAGTAGTTGTGACTAAAATGACTTTGCTGTGCACAACAGTTCTAAAGGTTGTGGTGTTCTGTGAGGGCTGGGGCCATTTGTAAAGGTGGTGGGAAAGCCCATCACAGAAGTGTTATTCTTATTACTTCCCTCAACTAAAGATCACAACAAAAAGAAATGGGGATCAGTAATAGTAGTAGTAGTAGTAGAAAGCAAACATTGAAACAGCTGCCCCTTTATTGGCCAATGGATGAGGCCAGGGTGGTTGTTATTCTGCCATGATGTTCTGGGGGAGCAGCCTCCCAGTGGCCTTTGAGTAGAGTATGCATTCCTTCAACTTTGAAGATGGAGCCAATTGCCCATTGTGGCAGGGTGGGGTGGGAGAAAGAAAGCTCCTTGCAGCTGACTGATAGATGGAGCCAATCTGGTCTTCCCCTTGCCATGATGCTCTATTAGACATGACTTCATATTAGAAGTTTAGTTAAGCATCCGATAAATAAGTGACTTAAGAGTTTGGCAGAGTTCAGTAGTCTGGTTCAGCTGAAGACTATGAAAACATGCTATAAGGCAGAAACCAAGATCAAAAGGTCAACAATCTTATTGTTTCTAATTATTATACCGCAGCCTCACTGAGGTTTCCGTCGTGATTAGACGTCTTTAATTTAAATGCCCTCCATATTCATTAAGCTGTAAATTATTTTTAGTTCACAGGAATCTCGAAACAAAAGTCTTGGATCACATCATTTATAGTAAATAACATATGGAAAATAATTTAACTATCAATATGAAGTTAACATTAATATTGAAAAGGCAGCATGAGAAAGCAGCTCCAACTACAGAAAATGACTAAATCCATTCTTCATTTATAAGTCAGTTCTGCTCAGCGAAGTGCAAGCTTTATTAAAATGATGTTTCATGGAAAAAAGTAGAATAAAGGCAATTAAATAATATTGCTAAAGTGACAAGAAGGACGATAGATCTAGTGAAACTCTGTTTTAGCAAGCCACAACTGTAGATCTTACCTTCCATCCGACGCTCCAGTAACAGCTGGAGAGTACTTTACTTCATAGTGAAATGTTTCTTTTGGCTGGAGAACAAGGCTTCTTTCACCACTAAGTGTAACAGGATCTATTAGTTCCACTTCTAATTCCAGAATATCAGCTGTGGGATTGGTTACAGGAATTCCAATGCAAACAGTATCCTAGAAAAGAAAGACAGACCATGTGTCCTTAGCCTTTACCAAACATGTCAAGAAAACAATGCTTATTTGAAACAGTTGGCTTTACATCCACTTTGCCAGATCTGTTTGCTGAATGCATCACCACAGTGGTGAAAGCGTATCCACAGAGGCCACAAGAGAATGAAAGAAATTGCCACAAAATGGTACAAGCATACAGCAAGAGGTGTTCAAGCCTGAGGCCATCTACCTGTCAGGAATATTTGTGGGTACTGAAGAAATAACAACCCATGCTAAAAAAGCAACTCCTGACTTTTGTGCTCATGAGATATTCCATGGGGACCTCACATAAACAGGCATTATTTCAACCAGGAGAGATGCCAAATAAGTGCTTCTATAGTTGCTTCATCACAACAAGTGCTAGGAAGCTCAGTACCATTCCAAACTCAGAAAATCAGAGGATGGAGGAAATCACTTCATCCCAATATTAAACCCAGTTACAGAATTCCCTTTTGACTCATTGCTAGGCCAAACATCAAGTGAGAATATGCAAAATTTCACAAGCCTTGATACAATTCAGATGTTTGATATGATTTTACAAGATGAAAAAAGGTTTGTAATAGGTGGAAAGTAGCCTCAAGTTCAGTTCTAGGGTTGATTAATGCATGCATTTTAATCAGTTGATGTCTTATACCGAGATAGATGGGTATATAAAATCACCTCAATACAGAACAGCTCCAGTCTTCCTGAGCTTTATAAGAAAATCCGGGCAGGGCAGGAGGTTGGGGGGGGGCTCAGGGTTTTTCTGAGACCTCTCAGAAAGACCAGGCTCAGTCCAAATGCTGGTGCCTGCTTTTCCCAGCAATGCCTGCCATCGGCTTCCCTCCTCCGGCTTCTGGGATTTCTGGAATCTTTAATTCCTCCTAGTTTAATGGGCTGGGCACAGAGGAATTAAAACTACAAATCCCAACACCCTTGGTGGTGATGAAGGAGTCTGAGATTATCAGAAAGTTCCATTGCATCATGAGAACACAGGGAAGTTTAGAAGGGTTCTAAACATTTAAAGAGGGACACGGGTGGCGCTGTGGTCTAAACCACTGAGCCTAGGGCTTGCCAATTGGAAGGTTGGCAGTTCGAATCCCCATGATTGGGTGAGCTCCCGTTGCTCGGTCCCTGCTCCTGCCAACCTAGCAGTTCGAAAGCACATCAAAGTGCAAGTAGATAAATAGGAAGGTAAACTGCGTTTCCATGCACTGCTCTGGTTTTGACAGAAGCGGCCTGCGGACAAACGTCGGCTCCCTCGGCCAGTAAAGTGAGATGAGCGCTGCAACCCCAGAGTCATTCGCAACTGGACTTAACTGTCAGGGGTCCTTTACCTTTACCTTTTAATGTTTCAAGGGTTATTTATATAACAGGATTACTCCTGACCTTTGAGGTGGCTCATATGTAAAACTGACAGTATGGGATGGCCATAGAAAGGGAGGGGGAGTTTCCATTCTCACTTTTCTATATTAGTAGGTGGGAGGAGGACTGCAGATAGCACTGTGCAAAGGCAAGTCTGCTGATCAGCTGTTCGCTCTGTTGATATCAACAGCCATTCCTCATGGAAGCTGCCCTAACACTGCTTTAGTCATTCCAGCTTCTGAATATATATATTGTATTTACTTTTGTATTTACTTTTACTGATATAATAGCATATTAATATTTGTAGACTGCTTTGGAAGCCTATATAATGAAAAGCAGCACAGAAGTGCAAATAATAAATTAATAAATTACACACATAATTTATTATATATTGTGGAAAGGATACACACACACACACACACACACACACACTCTTTAGGATTTATATCCTGCCTTTTCCTTAAGCTCAAAGCAGCTAACAAATCATATAACAATAACAGCAACAGTATAAACTGGCCACAGATCCTTGCCACTGCATAACAAGATACAGTTACCACCAACTCCTCTCTGACAATCAAAACTAGGAAGCAAATAGGTTTTATCTCACACAGTATAGCAAAATAACCTTCAGTTTTTGTTATCAGCCCTCATTACTTAGCAAAATAAATAAATAAATGATCACAACCCCATAATATTTGTTTTAGAAATATGCAGCAAAGGGAAGATCCAGTCCTTTCATTGAGATGCCCCTATAAACAAATAAAACGCTACACCAACAGTGCTAAAGATATTTCTGTGGAAAATATGGATCATTCTATTTATGCATAGTATAATAAAACAGGATGGGGTGGGGTATGTGTGTAAATAAATGAGAAAGATAACAATAATAAAGCTTAGGCAGGAAATTTACTGCCTTACAAGGAGTGTGGTATATCTTTGCCTGCTGCCCTTCATAAGACCCCTTGCATTTACAGAAAACGGCAATTTAGACTAAATATGCATTTAAAGCATTTAATGTTTTACAGATGGCAGAGTTATATCCACCTAAATCATTTGATAGCCTTGCATCAATAAGACACATTTTAAGGTTGCAATGAAATACTTTAAGGCTCAGATGAATCATTTTACTGCTGTAAACAAATTTTAGAGTCCCATTAACTTTTTACCACTAAGGGCTCCATAGCAAAACCTTGTAAAAGGAGCTTAAGCTGAGAGTTAAGAAACAATTCATTATTTTTAAAGAAATCCTGTTTGATGAACCTGGCAAGAGTCTAAACGCTTGCTAACATCTATGAGCAAAGCAATGCTACTCTCCAGATCCATTAACAGGAGGAAGATAAAATGGAGCAGAGGTGCCTTTTCCCTTACAGAAGAGGACCTGCCCTACCCACAGATAGTCCCACAGGTGCTGAGCTGGTGCTGGTGGTTATTTCACAGGTAGGAGACAGTGTTATGTCCCTAAAATGAGCGTTCTGATGGGGAGAATAGAGACAGCATTGGATTCACTGAACTCAAGGCCCTTTCAGTTGCTGAGGAGAACCCAAGAGTTCTATGCCAGCCTGGATCTGGTGCACGCAATCTCACCACATTGGCCACACTGTAGCCAATGAAATGAAACCCATGAAAAACAAGGTTTTCAGTTGCACTTATTCAACGAAACGGTGTAATAATCATAAACAAAGCAAAGCAGACAAATTTCAACCGTGCTACAAGGATTGTTGAGTGAAGCTTGAAAATATCATACTTGTCAGGGGTTTTAGCTAATGTGCCTGAAAGCTCTTGATGAATACTAGGTGCTGGAGAAGGGTGGAAATATTGGGGAAAGATGTTACCTTTGTATCCTACTTGTGGGTTTCCAAACAGGATGCACACTTGATGGGTCTCTGGCTAGATCCAGAGGAGCTCTTAGATAGGGTTGCCATATTTCAAACAGTGAAAATCCAGACAGAACAGTTGAGCTTTTTTTAGTTTTGCTCAAAAATTCACAAAATGTTTGGCAAATTCTCAAAAAAATAAGTTTTTGAGCTATTTTTAAGGGAAGTTGCCAAAAACGACGCTGCCGACATGGGTTGCCATAGGTTAGGATTTTCCCAGCCATTTTTGCGATTTCCGCCTCACTCCAGTATTCTGGATATGTCTGGGAAATTCTGGACACTGCTCTATACCCTTTGGGGTTTTAAGCTGCATGCTTATAGCTTTAATATTTTCCAGCTATCAATAAATAAACCAAGTGATAAGATAATTGGCTCAGGAACATGTGTGTCAGGAAAGCAGCAAAGCTGTCTCACATTTTCTTCCACTTTTGAAGTAATTATAGAATTTCGGAATGCTCTAGTTTTCTGCATATATTAATTAAAGAACTGCTTCACAAAGAAAGTGTGGTCTACACAAAATGTTAATATCCAAGATTTAGAACCTCAAAGCCAAAGTGAGAGCATTTGGGTCAAAATTAAGGGAGAGAAGAAGAACAGAGACCTCATTGTGGGAGTTTACTATAGATCCCCAAGCCAAACGGAGGACATAGATGATGCCTTCCTGGAACAGATGGCCAAGCATGCAAAAGGAAGGGAGATAGTAGTAATGGGGGACTTCAATTACCCAGATATTTGTTGGATGTCAAACTCAGCCAAGAGCATAAGGTCAAACAGATTCCTCACTGGCCTTGCAGACAACTTCATTGTCCAGAAAGTGGGAGAAGCAACAAGAGGAACAGCCATTTTAGATCTGGTCCTAACCAATGTTGATGACCTGGTTAGTGGGATAGAAGTGGAAGGATCATTAGGCGTGAGTGATCATGCTCTTCTGAAGTTTACTATACAGCGGAAAGGAGCAGCCAAGCATACTAGGACTCAATTTCTTGACTTTAAGAAAGCCGACTTCATAAAACTTAGGGAAGTGCTGGGTGAGATCCCATGGACAGTAATACTAAAAGGAAAGGGAGTTCATGATGGCTGGGAGTTTGTTAAGAGGGAGATAGTAAAAGCACAACGTCAGGCAATACCAATGAGACGGAAACATGGAAGGTGCTTAAAGAAGCCAGGGTGGCTATCTAAAGAACTTTTAACTGAGTTAAGATTAAAAAAGGATGTGTACAAAAAATGGAAAAGGGGGGAAACCACCAAAGAGGAATTCAAACAAATAGCCAGCACGTGTAGACACAAAGTCAGAAAAGCTAAAGCACAGAATGAACTCAGGCTTGCTAGAGAGGTTAAAAGCAACAAAAAAGGCTTTTATGGGTATGTTCGTAGCAAAAGGAAGAACAAAGAAACAGTGGGGTCACTCAGAGGAGAAGATGGTGAAATGCAAACAGGGGACACAGAAAGGGCTGAACTCCTCAATGTCTTCTTTGCCTCAGTCTTCTCCGATAAAGAAAACAATGCCCGACCTGAAGAATTTGGAGCAAATGATTCAGCAAAGGAAACACAGCCCAGAATAACTAAGGAGATAGTACAAGAATACTTGGCTAGTTTAGATGTATTCAAGTCTCCAGGGCCAGATGAACTGCATCCAAGAGTATTAAAAGAACTGGCAGATGTGATCTCAGAACCACTGGCAGTCATCTTTGAGAATTCCTGGAGAACAGGCGAAGTCCCGGCAGACTGGAGGAGGGCAAATGTTGTCCCTATTTTCAAAAAGGGGAAAAGAGAGGACCCAAATAATTACCGCCCAGTCAGTCTGACATCAATACCAGGGAAGATTCTGGAGCAGATCATTAAGCAAACAGTCTGTGCGCACCTAGAAAGGAATGCTGTGATCACCAACAGTCAGCATGGATTTCTGAAAAATAAGTCATGTCAGACTAACCTGATCTCGTTTTTTGACAGAATTACAAGCCTGGTAGATGAAGGGAACGCAGTGGATGTAGCCTACCTTGATTTCAGCAAGGCATTTGACAAGGTGCCCCATGATATTCTTGTAAAGAAGCTGGTAAAATGCGGTCTTGACTATGCTACCACTCAGTGGATTTGTAACTGGCTGACTGACCGAACCCAAAGGGTGCTCATCAATGGTTCCTCTTCATCCTGGAGAAGAGTGACTAGTGGGGTGCCACAGGGTTCTGTCTTGGGCCCGGTCTTATTCAACATCTTCATCAATGACTTGGATGATGGACTCAAGGGCATCCTGATCAAATTTGCAGATGACACCAAACTGGGAGGGGTGGCTAACACCCCAGAGGACAGGATCACACTTCAAAACGACCTTGACAGATTAGAGAACTGGGCAAAAGCAAACAAGATGAATTTTAACAGGGAGAAATGTAAAGTATTGCACTTGGGCAAAAAAAATGAGAGGCACAAATACAAGATGGGGGACACCTGGCTAGAGAGCAGTACATGTGAAAAGGATCTAGGAGTCTTGGTTGACCACAAACTTGACATGAGCCAACAGTGTGACGCGGCAGCTAAAAAAGCCAATGCAATTCTGGGCTGCATCAATAGGAGCATAGCATCTAGATCAAGGGAAGTAATAGTGCCACTGTATTCTGCTCTGGTCAGACCTCACCTGGAGTACTGTGTCCAGTTCTGGGCACCACAGTTCAAGAAGGACACTGACAAACTGGAACGGACACTGACAAACTGGAACGTGTCCAGAGGAGGGCAACCAAAATGGTCAAAGGCCTGGAAACGATGCCTTATGAGGAACGGCTAAGGGAGCTGGGCATGTTTAGCCTGGAGAAGAGGAGGTTAAGGGGTGATATGATAGCCATGTTCAAATATATAAAAGGATGTCACATAGAGGAGGGAGAAAGGCTGTTTTCTGCTGCTCCAGAGAAGCGGACACGGAGCAATGGATTCAAACTACAAGAAAGAAGATTCCACCTAAACATTAGGAAGAACTTCCTGACAGTAAGAGCTGTTCGACAGTGGAATTTGCTGCCAAGGAGTGTGGTGGAGTCTCCTTCTTTGGAGGTCTTTAAGCAGAGGCTTGACAACCATATGTCAGGAGTGCTCTGATGGTGTTTCCTGCTTGGCAGGGGGTTGGACTCGATGGCCCTTGTGGTCTCTTCCAACTCTATGATTCTATGATTCTATGATTCTATGATTCTATGATCTCTGCATCTGCCAACATTCAGCTCCTTCGTAAGTGGTCCTCATTTAGCATGTTTAATTGAACTCCTATTAAATTTTATATGGAATATTTTCCCAACATTTGGAAAGCAGAGACCTTTTCCTATGCATTCTTGCCCCTTAGGGTTTAATTGCAAAGATTCCATGTGAAGTTGTTACAGTGTTAATATTGTAGTTTAAATTCCACTGGTTGTTATCTACAGAAGTTTGTGTGAGGAAGCATTAGAAAGCACTCAACATATTACTCTTTGCCACTGAAAACGTAATACACTGCAAACTTATTCACAAGTGTGTTTTTTAAATAACAGATGGAGTGAAATATAGAGTTTTTAGAAATATCATTGAATTGAATTGCTAAACATATCTTCAAACGTGTACATTGCAAAGGACTCTTGAACTGTCTCTTTACCCCCTGGTCATTGTGAAAAGCCTGTAAAATAGGGTACAACAAAATTATATTTGAAATAACTTAGGAACAAAATTATATTTGAAATAACTTAGGAATCTAGGATATGTATATATATATATATATATATATATATATATATATATAAAAATAAATACATATTTTGATTTGAGGCCTTGTTGCAATAAGGTATCATTCAATTACCAAGAAGTAGTGAAGGCCATAGAATTACAGGGGTGACAAGGAGCGAAAGTTCATCTAAGCCAGATCAACTCTCTGCCTCAGAGTTTTTCCTTCCTTAGTCAGCAGTTTCAATGCATGGTTTTCCATGGCACCTGCACAATGCTGCAACAACATTTTACATTGCTATAGTAATTAACTTTGTACTAATGTAAAGAAATGTGGTAAAATTCAAGCAACTTTTTGAAAAATAGTATGTCAAAATCTGCTTCCAACAACAGGAAATTTGCTGAATAACCAAACTGTTGATGTTTGCCTCATATTAAGAACTCCTGCTGAGCAAACACAATGATGAGGATATTTTTCCCTTCGAAAAACAAACTGTTATTTCCCTAGCATTATCTCCCACCCAGCCCTAGTTGTTTTAAACCTTATGATGCATTTAATTTAGCTCTCAGAAAAAATGCATAAGCCCAGAGCAGTTCCAGACACTGAAAAAGAGTTACTGCACATTTATGTCAGTGAAACAAAACTTGTCTCCATCTTATTCAGCAAATTAGTTGTTGAATTTCAGATAGCATTTCAACACACACCAGGCTTTATGGAACTGTCTCTACTACTGCTTTAAATCAACTTTCAACTGCATTAATTTATGCAGTATTCAATGGGATGATTTTATGTTTAAAGCTTACAAAAAGGACTGAGCTAATGACAAATTAATAAAAAATGTTCTGCTATTTGACATGTCAGGCAACTCATTTTCATGAACATTAACACACGTCTAACCATTCAATGAATAGCCCTCTGCTGACCATTTTTCAGTCTTCCCAAGTTTATTTGAAGACAGTAGATATTTTATGATCTACACTAGCCACCTAGTGATGCACCGGAGAATTGATTAATGTAGTATTTTGCAGTGACTGTGTACATATCAAATATTTTCACACTAGACATAGTTGTTCTATGATCTGCACAAATTTATTTTCTATACAGAGCTTTTAGTTAGAATGATTAACAGCAGCCTTCTCAAAGTTGAGATATTTGCTCATCAGCCACCCTACCACTGCTGTTTCACAGAACACTCCCAGGTGTTGTGAAGTGCACAATTTCTACAAATGAAAATCCACCTTTGAGATGTGGTTCTCAACTCCAAGAAATGTTATTATTATAAATATGCCAACTCAATTTGAAGTTTATGAGAAAATGTCCTCTCATTTAAAATGACAAAAATAAACATTACTTTCTCTACATCCATAACGATATGCTCTGTAACTATACTGAGTAGGTGTACATTTATAAAGTTATCAGTAGGACTGTCACTTAGTTTAATGTGAAACCAATTTATTAAGTAACAATTAGCCCAACCCAGCAAGAAAAAAATCCTTAAGCATATGGTTTAACATGTCCATCCCTTAGAAAGGTTCAGTGCTGCATGTACAGTGGTACCTCGGGTTAAGTACCGTATTTTTTGCCCTATAGAACGCACTTTTTTCCCTCCAAAAATAAAGGGAAAATGTGTGTGCGTCCTATGGGGCGAATCCAGGCTTTCTCGCTCTCCAGGCTTCAGGAAGCTCTGCGAAACCCTCCGGAGCCCGGCGCCAAGCCGCGCCGGCCTCTGGAAGGTCGCGCAGAGCTGCCTGCGCTCCCGGGCTCCGTGTAGCTCTGCGCGACCCTTGGGAGCCCGGTGCCAAGCCGCGCTGGGCTCCAGAGGGTTGCACAGAGCTGCCTGCATTCCGAAGCCTGGGGCGCGCTGAAGAGCGCGCCCGGGCTTCGCACAGCTGTCCGCAAGGCTGGGGAGACGGGCGCGGCTCCCTAGGCTTGCGGATAGCAGGCTGTTCTGGGGGCTGGGGTCGGGGGAAGCTCGGGCTTTCCCCGCGCCAGCCCCGTGCCTGGGGGAGAAATATTTTTTTTTCTTTATCTCCCCCCCAAAAAAACTAGGTGCGTCCTATAGGGCGTCCTATGAGGCAAAAAATACGGTACTTAATTTGTTCTGGAGGTCCGTTCTTAACCTGAAACTGTTCTTAACCTGAAGCACCACTTTAGCTAATGGGGCCTACCACTGCCACTGCACCGCCAGAGCACAATTTCTGTTCTCATCCTGAAGCAAAGTTCTTAACCCGAGGTACTATTGCTGGGTTAGTGGAGTCTGTAACCTGAAGCGTATGTAACCCGAGGTACCACTGTACATCCCCTTGGAAGGCTCAGCGGGGGGGGGGGGGGAGAGACACCAGACCTAGAGGGAGGAGTAGAGAAAACTAATAATATTATTAATACCGCACCAAAAGAATTCAACACAATAAAATCGCAGATAGCCTAGAGCTGTAGAGCAGAGGATAAAACTTTGAACCAGCAGACTAAAAGAAAGAAACAACTGGAAATGAATAAAAAGCATTAAAAACAAACAAAGAGTGGAGGGGGGAGGGGGGGATTCTCCTTAAGAACCTTGTATAGTCTAAAGGAAAAAGAAGAGAAAGCAAATGAAATGATGGACAAATAAATCAAGTGGCTGTTGTTTGCTGAAAACAGAAATAAATGAAGAAATAGATAAATAAATCACACCAAAAGCTTTACCAATGAACCAAGGGAAAGGGAAATGGTCCTGTACTGAACTCTCCTAAAGGTTTGCAAACTAATACAAAATGGGGAAAAAAGAAGAGGGGGAAAGCACAAATTGATACAAGTGCTGTTTTTTAATTGTTAAGAAACAGAAAATGATTGGGAAGGATGCAAATAGTTCACTGCTCTTATAAATGCCTTTATTTCCAAGGCAGAATTTGCAGATGGACAACCACGTGAAAAATATGGGCTGACCCTCAGGCAGCAGGCCCACCCATCTTCCCCAGGACGACAGGAGCTGAGGTGATAGTGAGCCAGGCAGGAACTTCAGAACTATTACTTAAGTCCCCGGCTAGCGGCATGCGAAGCAGAGCTTTCCTAGAGCAGAGCTTTCCAAACGCTTCCATGTTGTTGACACACTTTTTAGACATGGGTCATTTCATGACACAGTAATTCCGTTTTACTAGCAAACTGGAGGTTAAACTAATCCCTTTCCAGCCCCGGGAGGAACATGGAGAATGTTTTCACAACACACCTACACACTGCAGTCAACATGCTGCATGCTGCAACACACAGTTTGGAAAGCTCTGCCCCAGAGGCTGCAGGGGGAAGGAGAGAAGTCAAGATAAGCCACTGTTCCTGCCTCTTCCACCAGAGGGAGCTTCCAATGGATCAGAGTCACTTTAATAAACAGCAGGAACTCTTAAATTCTCAAAACGTACACCAGATCCAATCTAGTATATACTGAATTATTTTGGAGGCAAGAAGGATTTAATAAAGCAAGTAGACTTTGAGACCCTCAGGGCTGTTGGCTACCCTGCCAAGGCTGCTAAACTACAAAATGATTTATATAACCATTTAAATTTCATGTTGTTTTTACAACCTATGGTCACACAATAAAATTCTGCTACAAAAGCTACAGAGCAGAGTATATGAAGCTAAATCATCATTCAAGGGGGGCTAAGGTGAGAAAATGAGAAAGATGAATCCAGGACCTAGTGTCTAGGATCCAGAATGGTCCAAACAGGAAATGAATTCAGGGGAAAATAGAGTGAGGGGAGAGTTTAAAATTGAAATAGTGCATTCTGAACCTCACAAGGAAATAAAGAGAAAAGAAAGAGCAGAAGTGGGGGTGAGACCATATAAATAATACATCTAAACTGTTCAGGCCCAAGAAGGCTGGTTCAGAGAAAGTGGCCAAGAGCAGCCTAAAAAACAGAAAATGGGACCTACCCAAAGCAAGAAATTAATCCCCTTAAAAAGATGGCAAAAAGGTAAGCAGGCCTTCAGAAGCCTCAGAACATGCAAAAATCTATTAGCTAAACTTGAAACTAAGCAAAAATAATATTAAACAAAGAAGTGAGTGACCTCTAGCACTGACTATAGGCTCCTTTGAAACCCCCATTAATTATCTCTACTTTTCTGCATTCTACTTTTCCTCATTACAATTCAATTATGTATTGGTAAATGATAGTCATGGAGCAAACACCTGCAAAAGCAGTTTTCCATTGTTTTAGAGGATGACACGATCCCAACTCTTACTGGGGCACAGGGAGACTCATGAAGATCATCCAGTGCTGCTAGCCACATCCAATAACAGATCTTGTACTTTATCCACACTGGGGTCTTAGCTCAACTACAGCATGGTCATGATTCTGCTTCTCAAACTCCAGACAGATATTTCTTCCCTCAAGACAGACATTCAAGCCTACTTCAGGCATGAGGAGAATTTCTTGTCCAAACTTTCCTTACATTCCTTCTGGGGTAATCATATTTACAAGCACATAGATTTGCTTCCCAAAATTTAGCTCAGTAGCAGAGATGGTTTTGTTGGGTTTCGATTGTTGTTTTGTGCATGCCATTCCCATGCTTATTTACTAGAGTGGTCTTTTTTGTAACTGGGATTAACCAACCCATTGTCTCAGTACACACATCAGAAAGCAGAAGCAAACATGGTGTTGAGAAAATATATTGGCGTGGCTATCCCTATACAATATTTTACCATGCAAAATGCAGCCCTCCCCACAATGTGAGCTTGTACGCAGAGAAATTAAATGGAAATTGGCCCTTACTGAAATTTGCACTCCTCATTTTCAAAAGTTAAGCACATCTGAACATCCTCTCAACAAACACATTTTGTTTGCTTTTTCACGCACAGCATGATCACTTATTATTAATATTTTAACAGCACATTTCAAGAACGACATACATTCTTAGAGAATGTTTTCAAAATTGCACATAGGAAGTAGGTATTTTCATTTTGTTTTTTCCATTTCTTCCTGAATAGCTGTACTATTTTCTCTTACTGCCAAAGAGAGTGCAATGGTTTGCATATTAAAACAAACACCTTTCTGTTTCAGCTGCAGGTGTGGGCTGCTGGGCAGCTTATATAAACAGATACTAAATTTCCATAATGCATTAATGACTTAAACCTGACGAAATAAAGCCATAATTGGAAAATACCTGTAAAACAGCAAACTGTCAAACTATCTGTCAGCTATTTTTATGCTGTCTGATAAAAATCTGGCTCCTGTTGAAGGCACAGACACACCAACACAGATCTTTAAAAGCATGCCATCACTGGAGTTCTGCAGAACACCATGATCTCATTTAGCAGGATTATTGGGTTTATGACCTGTGGTTTCCCAATTCTGAACACTGTACGCTCCACTGTGAGTTTTGATTTCAGATAAACACCAAGTCACATTTAATATTATTCTCATTAACACTTGTTCTCCTCTACTCTTTTCATACAGAAACTACCTCCTTAATTTTGAGCATTTTTCCTGGGTCTGATATCTTTTAGAAAGGCATTCACTCTATGTTGACTTCAGCTCCTAAACCTCCATCTATCTGTATGGTGAAAATTTTCTCCCTCGTTTCTAAAAGTGGAGCAAATCAATCTGTACTGAAAATCAGGACTAGGTCATATACTCTGCAAGAAGAGCTTTTAAAAGGAGAGCAACACAGAGAGAGAAACAATGGTGTTGTTCAAAATGTATATACAGTATGTAAAGTTTTTTGTTCTTACAAAGTAATACTCATACCTTAAACCAGTGTACTCTGGAGAAGAAAGCACAATTTTGTATAAAAACACCCCAAGCATAAGCTCTGACAAGCTTCAGATTACACCAAACTGACCTTAGCTATAGTCTCCAATGCACGGCTTCTACAATACATTTTACAACCACCTCCTTCAATGTGGTGAGCATCAACTCCTCCTACAAGAAGGCATTAACTATCCCCTGGACCCACCCAGTCAGTCCCTTCTTGCAAGATCTTTAACAGCCAGGAAAGACAAGAGCCGAGAGAGCATGTAAATTATCACATGAACCTATTCAAATACACAGCTAAGAGATCTCTTTGGGCCATAAGTGAAAGTAATCTTACCAGAACAGCGCATTCAACATGTATAGTTTTTTCTGGTGCAGCTGGTATACAATTTATTTCCAGGGAAAACCAGACTTTGCTGTACGGTGGACTTTGTCCTAAACAGGTCAAGAAATAAGGAGGGCAGGGGGGAAACACAATGAATCTTGAGTATTAACTGAAGACTTAATGCAGACATGAAATCATTTCCTGTATGGAAAGCACTTGTGCCCCTTAATATCTAAATTCTATAGCCTTGGATCCTAATTGCAACTTAGGGGCATGCAAAGCCTTGCACTAGCTCTGTACAATTGTTGTATTTTTAAAAAT